CTGTCTCACAGGCACCCCACAATCCACCACATACCACTACACAAAGGAGGGTCTCTGAAAGCGAAACATCCCATTTCCCTTTTACTCTTTGTTCTCTAAAAACTTTTACTCTTTCCCTTAATAAAAACTGACTACCAAGGACCAGCACAACAGAGTTTCTTGAGAAGGAACTGCGCTATATCCTGATTTTGGTGATGGCTGCATAAATCTTTATGTGTTAAAACATGTAACTGGAAAATAGTGTGACTGTTTTTCAGAATGCTGAACATAAAATTATCATATAATCCAGCAATTCCACCTTTGGGTATATGTCCCTATTCAACGAAGCATTATTCACAATAGTGAAGAGATAGCTGAATGGGTTAACAAAATGTCTAGACATGCAATGAAATATCCAGCCTTAAAAAGAAATGAAATTCTGACACATGTGACAACATAGATGAACCCTGAAGATACCATGCTAAAAGTGAAATAAGCCAGGCACAAAAGAAATAATACTGTATGATTTCACTTATATGAGGTACCTACAGAGATCAAATTCATAAAGAAAGGAGAATGGTGTTTGCCAAGAGGCTAGGAGCAGGGAGGCCTGGATAGCATTTAATGGATACAGTTTCAGTTCTGGAAAAGCAAAAGGTTTGGAGATGTATGGTGGTAATGGCTTCATGACAGTGTGAATGTACTTAAATGTCATTGACCTGAACACTAAAAAATACTTTAAAAATAAAATAGTATATTTTACATATATTTTAATACATTTTTAAATGCATAAAATGTACACAAAATTAATTTTATGTAAATGTTTTAAATATTAATTTAAAAAAGGAAGCCTTATCTATTAGCAATACATGCTGAGATAGATAAAATGATATGATGGCTGGCATTTGCTCCAAAATGACCTCAGAAGTGGACATTAAAGGTATAGATGAAAAAAATTGGCCATGAACTATAATCAGATGAAGTTGGGTGATGGGATACATGCAATATAATCCAGTGTCTCTACTTTCAGAAATGTTTGAAATTTTCTATAATAAAAAGTAAATTATGGTTGGTTCATATAATGGAATACAAAGCAATCAATGCCAAAAGAATAAAGCAAAGCAAAATGCATAAAGATTTCAAGATTAATTTAAAAAAAAAAACAAGCAGGGCCTCCCATGGTGGCGCAGGCAGTTGAGCACCGCGCTGGGAAGCTGTCCGCAGCCTCTACAGTGCAGGTTCTATCCTGGCCAGCCAGGAGATACCCACATGGCGCAGCAGACCTCTCCTGACTCACCCACTGCTCCCCTCAGCAGTGTATTTCGTCAGTCTGCCTGCTCTGTTCCCCACTCTGTCTCTGGTGAATCCTCTCACCCTCCCGCACATCTGGCCTGTACCCAGGTTCTTGTATAAAATAAATAAATCTTTAAAAAAAATTTTCACTTTAAAAAAATAAAAATAAAAAAAACAAGCAAACGGTACCTACTATGCTAGTATTATGAATCAAGAGGACACATAACAAGGATGGTAACTTTTGCCACTGGAGAAGCAGGGAATAGGAAGGAGACTTACTTTCCACTGACTCCTTTGTACCCTGTGAATATTTGCAGGTTAAATTCCTAGAAGCAATATTGCCACCTTAGAGGTTCTCAAAATGTCCATCTTGTACCAATATCCTTTGATTAACAATATAGGCATGTACTTGTCATATACATCACCAATTTGGATATCACCCACCCCATCTGACAGGTAAGACATTCCTTGTTGTGATTTGTTTCTAGAAAAACAACAGCATGCACATTTATTATTTCAGCATCCATGGGTCAGAAGTTCAGGGGTGGTCTCATTTGGTCAGGGTCCAATTCACTTTTATTTATTAACAATATCCCTCCATTTATTCTTTGGCCACTTATTTCCTTTTCTGGATATTTATTCCATTTCCTTTGCTCATTTTTTTCTGCTTTTTCTTTTACATATTAATTTCTGCAAATTCTTTGGACATTAAGGAAATTAACTCTGTTGCAATGTATTAGTATTTTTCCAGTTGGACCTCTATCAGGAGAAGCTTTTAATCTTTTTATTTAAAGATTTATGCATACAAGAACTGGGGTACAGGCAGAGGTGTGGGGGGTGATTCACCAAAGACAGAGTGGGGAACAGAACAGGCAGACTGACTGAAACACACTGCTGAGGGGAGCAGCGGGTGAGTCAGGAGAGGTCTGCTGCACCATGTGGGTAGGATTGAACTCATGCTGCAGTGGCTGTGGACAGCTTCGTCTTAACCCCTTGTGCCACCAGGGAGGCCCAAAGTTAATCTTAAGTAACCAAATTCATAAAGCTTTTTCTTAGTTTCTTGATTTCAAAACTATCACCATGCTAATATTAAACAGTATGTTCATCCATATTTGCTATTAGTCAATTTAGGATTTTAATTTTTTTTAAAGATTTATTTATTTATGCATACAAGATCTGGGGTACAGGCCAGAAGTGTGAGGGGTGAGAGGATTCATCAGAGACAGAGTGGGGAACAGAACAGGCTGATTGACTGAAATCGCTGCTGAAAGGAACAGTGGGCGAGTCAGGAGAAGACTGCTGCGCCATGTGGGTAGCTCCCTGGCTGGGGATAGAACTCATGCTACAGTAGCTGCAGATAGCTTCACAGGTTGTGTCTTAACCACTTGTGTCACCAGGGAGGCCCTAGGATTTTAATTTCTATATTTAAATATCTGATCACTGAATTATTATTTTGAGTAGGGTGAATCCAGTTTAATTTTGTGCCAAGTTCCAAATGGCTTGCCAGTTGTCCCAACACGACTGATTGAAAAGCAAGGCCTCACAAGATCTATATGACTCATACATACATTTGTCATCTAGCCTAGACTCCCCTCTCACTTCAGTCTAACCTCACTAGTCTCTGTGCCTCCAAGAACACACCAGCCAATTTCCCATGTCAGGGTCACCTCTGCACTTCTTCACATAACCACCTGGCTTGCTCTTTCATTTCCTTTGGTCTCTGCTCAAATATCAGACTTTCTAGTGACCTAACCTCATCACCCTATAGGAAACAGGGTGAAACCTCCTCCCCACCCTTTCTCTGAATTACTTTTCTCTATAGCACTTATCCGTGCCTAGCTATTGTCATGTTCCAGCACTATAACAAAGTCTGGCACTCAAGTATCTGTTGAATGAATGTGAAATATCATTTTTATCACACACAAAAATCCTATTAAGCATACTCAACAGAAGCAGCTTCACCTCCCCAGACTTCCACTGTTACTGGAAAAGCCAGATGATGTAAAAAATATATAAAATTTGGAAAACAATAATTTTAAAAAATAAAAAAAGAAAAGGGAAGGGAAGTGGGCAGAGGAAGTTGCCTCCTTTAAACAAATGTCTGTCAGTTTAAACTAACACCCGTTATGTAGAAAACAGTGAAGCATCCTAGCAGCTTTGCACGAAGTGCTAACCACGCCTAAACACCAACATCCAAGTCATCTGCGTTTAAAACTCACTTCAACTGAAAGAGACCGGGAAGAAGTACAGTTGGTGAGAACCTTCTTGTGTGAAAGCGCCCAAGCCCTGTCACCACACCATCAGGGAACAGAGAACCTTCTCAGGTGACTTTGCAGTCAATGAAGCAAAACTACGAAAACAAACTGGTCCACCCTGCCTTTAAAACAGTTTGCACTCAATCTACCTGAACAGACTGCAAACTTTTTTGAACGCGTCCCTGAAATGTATCTAAAAAGAGACACAAGAAGATGGTTACCCCGTTGGGAAAGAAAACTAGGTGGCTGATGGGAGGGTGGGCGTGAATTCCCAATGGACCCTTTTTGCACCCTGTGAATCGACCCATGCCAAAGCCCTGAGTTAAGGTAAAAGCAAATGCTTTTACCAGAAGAAAATGGTGCAATTTTACCCGGATGTCGGGGAGGGTGGGGGGATGGCTGAGAGAAGCCCCCAAAACCAATGCCTGACAGAAAGGGGGAGAGGACGCCCCGCCCCCAAAGGTGTCAGCAACAGGACCCGCGCGTTCGTAGGGGCTGGGCTCACCCCCGCTATCCGCAGCCTCGGGGTCCTGTTCTGCTTTGCGCTTGAGTTTCTGGGAGGAGGGGCTCACTGGGGCGTCCCCCAACAGGTACTTGTGCTCCTGGCCCCGCAGGTGCTTGAGGTAGCGGTCCTTCATGGACTGCCAGGAGTGCGGAGTGAGCGAGCTTTTCTCCAGCGCTTTCCACAAGGCGTTGCCGGTGACGGAGGAGGGCGAGCGGGCGTTTTCCTTCACGTAGGTCAAGATGGCCACGTCGTCCGCATCCGTGAAGGCCACTCGCCCCGTGAGCGGCGGCGGCTCGGACTCCGCGGCGGGAGCGGCGCCCTGGGCCTGGGTCCCGGGCTTCGGCTCTGGGGCCTGCTCGGCCGCCCGGGCGGGGCCCAGACGATAGGCCTGCAGGTCGAGCCTCTCGTTGCGCTCCACGCAGTCCAGGATGTACTGCGTGGAGATGAAGTCGCCCGACGCCTCGGCCAGGGCCTCCCCGGGCTGGGCCAGCAGCACGGCCCCGGGCTCCTGCACCCGGCACAGGGTGCCGCCGCCGTGCAGGATGAGCGTCGAGAGCCGGCGCTTGGCCGGGCTGGGGCGCACGTAGAAGGACATGGAGCTGCCATCCTCACTCACGAAAAGAGTGGGGGAGTGGGTGGGCCCGTTGGGGTCTTTGCCTAAATCCAGAGCCTCCGCCATCGCCACCACAACAGCCGCCCCCTAACCAAGGACCGGAGCACCGAGCGCCCGCGACGCGCCGGGATTCCGACGCCTCAGCCTCAGCGACGCGCGGAAATTCCGACGCCTCAGCCGCGACACCTCAGCCGCGACGCCCCGCTCTGCGCCTGCGCGGTAGTAGCGCGCGGAAGTGCCCGCCCCCTCTCCCCGGAAGGGGCGGGGCCTCCGGCGGTGACCTACAATTCGCGCGGCGAGCCTCGTCCCTTTCAGGTCTGGCCGTCGGGAAGATGGCTGCGGTGCACGGGGCCGAGGTGAAAGTGGATGGCGGCGAGGCGAAACTGAGCAAAAAGTAAGTGTCGCGGCGGGTAACTAAGAAATGTGTAGTCGGAGAGTCCGAATTAGGAAGTGCCTCGGGGCTCAGGCCCAGGCGGCTGTCCCGGGACATGCTGGCCGGTGCTTGTGCGTATGGACACGCCGGGATGGTGCCGCTGCGCCCCGAAACTACATCCCCCAGGGTGCCCAGGAGCCGCCTGCCCGGCGCTGGCACCGAGCCCCGTGTGCTGCTCCTGGAGTAAGAAGACGGAGAACAGAGGAGACGACAGAAAGCGAAACCCCTGCGCTTACGTCCCCTGAGAAAGGGTTGCTCTTGTTATACAGCCACGCCCCGAAAAGGAAGTTGGAGAAATATTAAATGCCCTGGCTTTCCCGAAAGTTTTCTTTGGCCTCATCAAGGCTGTTCTGAAACTTGGGCATTGAGGGTGTGAGTCCTGAAGCTGTATTGTGTCCCAGTTCGTACGGGTTATTCAAAGGATGTGTGAGCATGGAGTGAGTGACCAATGTCTAGCACTCTGGCCTGCCTTTTTCAGCTGAATACACCAGACTGCACTTAGCCCTGCTGGTTAGCTCTTTAGTAACCACAGTGTGCAGGTAAATGTAAATAAATCATGCATAGCCTCCCTTTAACTGGTTGTTATCGTGTGTTTTCTAAATACCACAGTCCCTCTCGGACAGCGCTCTTCAGTTGAAGCATAGGACACTGGCAATGATTTGAGTGACTTTTCTCAGTACTACCACAGATGGTACATAACTGCTCTCTAGAACTATTCTTGGGGCATAGAAGTTCATTCTTTACATATAATGGTGGTCTTAGTGCATTAGGACTCAGTTATCTTGCTGAACCCTGATGGAGTTGCTCTAGACTAAACCGTTAAAAAATGTTACCTTACAGTGTATTTCTTGCATAAAGGAAAACGAGAGCAGAACATCCAAATCCTATAGATTCATAGCACCCTAATGTAGCACTCCGCTTATGAGAGTATCTGATTGATCTCTTTCAGTGTTTGGAATCTGGTCTGGACTTCTGCTTTCTGGAAGGCAGACTGGACTTTGGCACATCAGTAATTGAGTTTTAGGGCTGTAAATAATAGATACCTCATCAGCAGGGTCTCCTGTTGAGAGTGCTGTTTCAAGGTAAACTGAGGAAACTGGCCAGTTCCTATCTACTTACTTTTCTTATCTAAATGACAAGCTACCACTTTTTAAAGTAGCTTTTATGGGTCAGGAACGGTGCTAGAACTATGCAAACTTTCTGCCTAATCTCATTAAAAGTCCCACAAAGGAAGTGTTAATGTCCATTTTTACAAATTAAACCCAGGCTCTGGGTGATTACATTTCTGAAATGTGGGCTATCATGGATCCAGGGCTCAAGAGCAGAGATCTAAATTTTTTTTTTTAATAAATTTTATTATTATATTCCCCATACAATTGCAACCCCCTTATTTTGACCCCAATCCCTCCCCTCCCCCACCCCCCATAGAGTGCAGAGATCTAAAATTAAATATGCAAACAATACAGCCCATATATTGCAAACAATCTATTCCTCTACTGAGGAATGTACATATGAAAATAATTTTCATATATTAACTTTTACTTCTTTTTTTTTTTTTTTTTTTTTTTAAGAGGCATTTTTATTTATTTATTTATTTGTTTGTTTGTTTTTGTTTATACATGCACTGGGTACAGTCAGAAGTGCGGGAGGGTGAGAGAATTCACCAGAGCCAGAGCGGGGAGCAGAACAGGCAGAAGGACTGAAGTACACTGCTGAGGGGAGCAGCGGGCGGCAGGAGAGGTCTGCTTGCTATGTGGGACCCTCCTCCGGTGGCCGGGGAGCAGCTGGGGATTGAACCGGCGCCTCCGAGGCCGCGGGCAGCTTCGCAACCCAGCGCTCAACCGCTGCGCCAACTTTTACTTCTTAATTGTTTCTGGGACTTCCATGATCTGAATCATTAGTGAGCACTATTTTATGTCGAATGTTTTCTCCAAGTTTAAAAAACAAGTGATCCACCTGCTGAGTAACTCATTTCGAGATGAAAGATCAAATTTATTTGAATTAAGAACTTGATCCCTGTAATTCTGTTGCCTTTCCGTGTTAATGTCTCAAAATGAACTTTGAGACTTTTTGAAAAATTCTCCTTTCCTTCTTCCTAGAGTTCCAGACAGGTCTTACTTTTGACACAGAGACGCTTGCTTCTGGCTTTCTCTAGATTTTGCAATTTGTGTAGCCTGCTTATAGTTTTCTCTAGAGTTTGCTGTTGATGTTGACATTTTATTTGCTTCCCATTGCCATCTTTGTGGCCACTTATTTCATCTCTAAGAAAGCAACTACATGTCGGGGGCCTCAGAAAACACTGCCTTACTCCTGTCTCCTATTTTCTAGAATGTTCTGGTCATTTTTACCTGTATACCATTGATGAATTTGCTATTCACTTTTGGCCCCTGGTATGCATCTTTTTTGTCATAGTCAGGACTGAAAGCAATGTCAGTTATATTTGCAGCACAGTGAGTGTTCTAGGGTTAAGAGGGTCTTAAGTGAGACACTATAAGATTATGTAACTCCCACCCCCAACGTAAGTGAGTAGAAGTGTTGGTTGGGTATATGTATACTGTCTGTCCCGTCTGACACCACATCTCTGTGTTTCCCGTTAGGTGGTGATAATCATTAGTTCCAGGGTGTTCTGCCATGTTGACGCAAGCTGCTATAAGGCTTTTTAGGGGTTCCTTGCGCCAAACCTCCTGGGCACAGTGGGGGCAGAGGGAGCTGCGACAGTGTCAACTTGCTCCTTTCACAACGATTCACAAGGACAAGCCACTTTCTGATAAAGGAAGGTTGGTGCCTGTTACCTTTATCGCTCTGGGAGCAAAATTCTTTCCCTTACTTAGTTCCTTGTCTGTTTAGCTGCTGGCTGTCTCTTTGGACTTGTTGCTAAAGAAACAACCCTACTACCAAACCCATTTTAATAAATTCAAATTCCCACTTCATCGATTCTTGAGATGACTTGTGGATCTTTTTGTAGACCAGTGCTTAGAACAAGAGCCTTGTATACATGAAGGATTTACTGCGGATTAGTTTCTCTTGCCCTCTTTCTAGAATTTGTTTGCTCCTGAACTTGATTTGGTTTCTAGTATTAGTTTACTCCTGATGCTTTGGTTTATCTAGTGATTAATATGACTTCAAGCGCAACACCTAGTTAAATAATGTTAATGTTTAATAGCTAGTTAGATTATGTTAATGCTGGGAAGAACCACATAGGCTTAGATGGCTGATTTACAGCATTTAGCCTGGAAACATTTGGAAGGTTATTCTCACAATTTTTACAGATTATATTTAGAAAGAGTTGCCTACCTTTAAACTCTTCAGTTTTCTGTCTAAGGATGTGTCTTGAAGAAATACAGTATCCACACATAACCAGAGATCATTTGCCATGGTTCATTATTATATTTGGTTAAACTCAATGGTTTGAAAGAATGATCAATTCTATTTGAATAATGAGGGTAATTCTCTAACCAAATCTATTTGATTTCTGGGTTTAAATAGCAATATTTCAGATGATAAGATACCAAGTTGTCCAAAACCCCATAGTTTTTGAGTCTTAGGTAACAAGTTACAAGAGTTTGGCACAGTTACTCTATAAAGGAAGCTCACCATAGAAAAAGCCACACCAATAAATTTCATCTGGGAAGGGAAAAAAACAGCTTGAGCAGTGAGGGATTTACTGGAAATTTATCCAAATGGGTGAGCTTTCTGTCCTGAGGGTTTAAGATAGTGAGGGATATGTAGAATAACTCAATGTTTGCATTCCTACTAAATACTAGGGACAGGGTAGTCACTATATGTAGTCTCAGTCCTCACAACAGTGTCTGGGAAGAAGAGAGTATAAAATTTCCATTTTCGGGGAGAAGTTAAGTCAGTTACCCAAGGCTGCATAATTGATAGGTGACTGTGTCAGGATTTAGTCCCAGGCGGTCTGGTACATTATCCCCTGTGCTGCAGCTGCTTTGCACACTGTTCTGCCCAGTTTCTTGTCAAAGCCAGGCTCCAGTGGGCAAAGTGAGACCTGTGCTAGAGGAAAGACTGTCTTTTGCACCCCAACACCCCACTCCTGAGGAGGGGCAGAGAGGCCACAGAGGGCCATGTTGCCTTGTAAACAAATCGGTAGGGTTTATTTACTCTTCTATCTTGATTTTAGTTGGGATCTAATGCCAAGGACCTCAGCATCGAAAGCAGAGACTGGGGAAGATCTTGCTTATTTTCCTTTGTCTCCTTGACATGTGGAATTTACTGGCTAAGATACTAGAAGTGGGGGTGTCCCCCAGGCTAATCATGTTTTGAAAAGTGGTATGGGACAGAAGACAGTAGAGGACTCTTCAGGAAAGTCTCACCTGGAACATTTTCATCTCCCCAACAGTGAGCTAAAGAGACGCTTGAAAGCTGAGAAGAAAGTAGCAGAGAAAGAAGCCAAGCAGAAGGAGCTCAGTGAGAAGCAACTAAGTCAGGCTGTAAACGCTGCTGCCAACCACACCTCTGACAATGGAGTGGCTGCTGAGGAAGAGAGCCTGGACCCAAATGTGAGTGCCCTGGACCAGCACCCCCGACCCCAGACTTCTGGGGCACATTCTTCAGGACCATTGACTAATAGACAAACAGGAACTGGAACTGGCTTTGGGTCTTGGGTCACAACAAAAGGATGAGGGTGGGCCTACCACTCCCTGGTTAAAAACATGCACTGAGCTTTTTTTCTAATAAACTCCCAAAAGGCACCTGGGAGCATTCAATATTTCAAGTGAGTGATTAATCTTCCGGGGCCTTGAAGCAGCCCCAGCGGAAGTATCTTCCTAAAGGTGAGCTAAGGTTTATTTACTTTAGGCCAGAATTTGGCAAGCTGTGGTCTGTGGGCCACATGTCCCCGTGGTCCCTACCTCATCCTGTGTGAAAGAAAAGTTGTATTGGAACATAGCCATGCCCATTTGTGTACATATGTCCAGGGCTTCTTTCCAAAGACAACAGAGTTGAGTAGTAGTTGCATCAGAAAAACTCTGCTGACCCCTGCTGTAGAATATTCCTTTTTCATATCCTCCAGCCCCCCCCCACCCTGCCCCCCAATATGCCTGCCATGGGGGAAAGTCTGATGTGTGACCAGGGGTAGGAAAGAAGATAGGTGAATCATCTTGCAAGTGCCACCACAAAAGCGATGACGTTACTATTTTAGGCAGAACCCCAGTTTTTGTTGTTGAACCATGCATTTTAGAAATTTTGACCTGCATTTCTTACTACGGATCTGGTGCCCCTACGTACTTTAATTGCACATCTCACTCTGTATCCAGTCCCATGATTTCAGGGGTGTAGAGGACTCCGCTAAAGAAACTTAAGTGTTTTGGGCCCCTCTGAAACAGAATGCAGCGCTCTGTTAGGTGGGCCACTGGTCAGCTCAGGTTCAACGTCTCAAAACCTTTTTGTTCTCTTTTTTGATTAGCAATACTTTAAGATCCGCAGTCAAGCAGTCCACCAACTGAAAGTCAGTGGGGAAGACCCGTACCCACACAAATTCCATGTAGATATCTCGCTCACTCAGTTCCTACAGGAATACAATCACCTGCAACCTGGAGATCACCTGACTAACATCACCTTAAAAGTGGCAGGTAGGAAGTCTCCTTAGCTATCTATCTTCTGTGGCACAGAGGGAGGACTGGGTTGTCTTGCTCTAAACTAGCCTGCATTGAACATTGCCTGTAGATCTATTCAGAGACTGGAGCGGCCCTTCATGTTTCAGGTGAAGTCATGATGCAGAGAAGGGTCTGATACTGCTGTTCTTAGTTCCTTCATCTTTGGGAGCCATGGCTCCCAAAATTCCAGTCTGACCTAAGAATGTTTTATATAATTGTTTCTAGAACATTGTCGTTCTAGAGTTTATTATCTTATGTGAGATCTTTTCCTTAGTTAAAAAAAATTAAACCCTGTCTTGTCCCTTCCAAATAGTAAGCTATTATTGTAAATTTTGAATATTTAAAGAAGCCATAAAGTTTAATGAGTGATAATCCCCACCAATCAGAGAGATCTGAAGATGCCAGTACCTGAATGGTATTTTAAAGATTCTTCAAATTCCAGTAATTTTACTAAAATGTCTTGATGTCGGTCATTCCTGCTCAGAGTTCTCAGGCATACAATGTGTGCTTTGGATACGTATTTTCAAATCTTCTGTATCTGTTTTGGATCTTCACTTCATCTCAAATCCTTTTTCATCTCTTTTTCGTACTTTAATTTTTAAGCTTTATTCCTTTTACTTTCTGTTTCTCTTAAGACATTCACTCAGTCTTTTCAAGTGTCACCTGATTTCTTAGTCTTTCTAATTACCATTTGTATTCTTCATGTTTTGAGTCATTTTCTTAATATCTCAGCTCATTGTGAAATAGAACTTATTGTTCTTCTGAGCAATCTTGAGTGCTTTCATTGTTCATAAGAATGTTATTCTCCCTTGTAACAAAAATTTAATAACTTTATATTGTATTTGAACTCAGTACTGTTAGTTAGGTTGCTTTTATTGTGAAATTACTTTTCTGAATGTTAAAGAAAACTTGGTCCAGGTAGCTTTTTTTCAACTTCTTTACGCTCCTTCTCATTGTTTTTGTGATTTCTAAACCCTTTCCTTTCCTCACTTAGTTGGGCCTTTTCTTACTTGTGCCTGTTTTCCTGGTCTCGTTCAAATTTGTGAGATCTTGTCATAGAAGAGAATCCTGGCTGTTAAATTCAGAGAGTTCCTGGGGGTTGAACTCAAGGTCTTTCCCCCAGACTGTCTCAGTGCTCTTACTGTATTCATTCATGTGGCAGCTGGCACCTTCCCCTCCTGGTTTCGGCCATCCTCCTCCAAGCTAGCCTGTTACATTTTCTAGCAAATACCTGTAGCTATTGAGGAGGTTTCCGGTTCTCAAGTTCATCAGACACCCCACTGTTCCCCACAGCTGCTCCTGTGTGAAGGTCCTGGGGTTCTAGGCCTCTAAGTGGTTTGCCCCACTGCTTATATTTGGGGGTTCTTGGGAATAGCTTCCCACCTAATTTTGTTGTGAGTTTTGTCTGTGGCTTATTGCCCTTGCCTGTGTAGTTGTGCTTTCTGTTTTTTGTGAGGATTCAGAAAGAATGCTGCCACCCACACTTTTCAGGAATCCAGGGACTAATCCAGTTCAATCTTCCTGCTCTTCCTAACTGGTTTGAATGGGAGTCATTGTCACAAACAAATGAGCAGGACATTGGCCTCAAGCTAAATTCAGATTGTCCTGCTTTATGTTTTGCCCTGATATAAAAAATACAGAGGCAGATTTTGGGGCACTGACTTCTGATTCTGTCTCAGTCAGTATTTTTGCTGTGCTTTTTCTAGGTAGAATCCATGCCAAAAGGGCTTCTGGAGGAAAGCTCATCTTCTATGACCTTCGAGGAGAGGGGGTCAAGTTGCAAGTCATGGCCAATTCCAGGTATATGGAAAGAGCCAGGTATAGGCCTTTCTAGGCTGACCCCAGAGCAACCTGGTTTGGGTCAGAGGCCCATGTGGCCTTTTCTGTTTGTATCTGTTGTTTAAGGAGAAGAAGAATATTGTTGGGTAACCAGAAAAGAGAGTAAAATACCATTGGTCACCAATAGCATAATGAACAACTCCCCTCAAGTTGTGCCGCATTTAAAAATAAAAGATAACGCTTTGAACAGTTGCCCTTAAATCTGAGATTTCTTCTTGGCTAGTCATTAATAGTTTTAGTGAGAGTTCTAGAGTAAACCAGTAATCAGTTTCAATTTAGAATTTTGTATGCTGAATGACATTATCCTTTCACTCAGGAATTATAAATCAGAGGAAGAATTTGTTCGTATCAATAACAAACTGCGGCGGGGAGACATAATTGGAGTTCAGGGGAATCCTGGGAAAACCAAGAAGGGTGAGCTGAGCATCATTCCCTATGAGATCACGCTGCTGTCTCCTTGCTTGCATATGTTGCCTCATCTTCACTTTGGCCTCAAAGATAAGGTAAGCTCTTGGATCCTGCTGACTGTAGCTTATCATCCCACTGAATCCGACTTATCAGTGACTTCTCTGTGCTGCTTTTGGTTTAGGAGACACGGTATCGCCAGAGATACTTGGATCTGATCCTGAATGACTTTGTGAGGCAGAAATTTATCATCCGCTCTAAGATCATCACATTTATAAGAAGTTTCTTGGATGAGTTGGGCTTCCTAGAGGTGATGGAGCATTCCTTCCCTGACATGACACCTGGCTGTGCTTGCCTCCTGCTATTCCCTCCCTTTTCCAAAGTGTATCCTGTGTCAGTAACATTTATCCCCAGTGAAAGGCCCCTGTTCTTGCATCTTTTTTCCCATTTGTTTATTTATTGCCCTCATTAGAAAAGTGAGACCCGACTTACAGGTTAATAGACAAGATGTAGGGCCATTCACATGCTTGTATTGTCACCTTCAATTGTCAAATCATTTTGCTTCTTGGCAGCATTAAAGTTTTTATATTTGATAAATTTTTAATAAAAATTTTATATATAATTTAAACAATCATAAAAATATATAAATTATATCTATAATTATATTTTATAAAATTTGTAGATTTATAATATGTTACTATAACACAAATTCAAACAAATTAGAGGCAAAACTGAAAGTCCTCTTTCAGTTTTTTCCAACTAACTTCCTTCGCAAACTTGAGTTTTATGTGCGTCATTCCATGCCACATACTGTATATGTAGTCATATATATGCTTACACATGTTGCGGATAGGGTGCATTTGGAGAGGTTTCATTTTTTTTGGAGAGGTTTCATTTTTTTTGCTGTAAACTAAATAATGTCACTGTTATGACAGTGACATAGATTCTGGAATCCTTTATATGTTTGTGTTCCCTTCACACTGCATAATCTGCTGACAATTTAGGTTTCTGATTTCCTTCCTGTCGTCTGTGTTCATATGTTAGCGGTTCCTTAGGATGAATTCTTAGAAGTAGAATAAGTCAAAGAATATGAACAGTTAAAATTTTAATGTACTGCAAATTGAACTCAAGAAGACTACCCACTTACAGCTTATGAAAGTTTTTTTTTTTTTAATTTTTTTTTTTTACATCATTTTTCATTTTTAAACCGTATTTGCTTCCCCCAACCCCCTCAGGAGCTTATAAAAGTTTACAATAGTGTGTGTGTTAGTGGTGTTTGTATGAATAGAAACTGAGACACTATTCTAGAAGATTAAGCCTTTCACATTTTTTGTCACCCAGGGATATAACAGGTATAGGCTATACCCCATGCAACACATGGATTAAGGACTTCAGTCTGAAAACTAAATGTTTCTCCCCGTCTTTTAGATTGAAACTCCCATGATGAACGTCATCCCAGGAGGAGCTGTGGCCAAGCCTTTCATCACCTACCACAATGAGCTGGATATGAATTTGTACATGAGAATTGCCCCAGAACTCTACCATAAGGTAATCAATAAGATGAGGCCCTTGGCCTTTAGATAACCAAAGAGCTGGAAAACCATTGGCTGAAAGAGCAGTCAGAAAGAAGAGGGAGAGTTGCCAACGAGGGCTAGTCAGCCAGGAGAGTATTCTAGTTTGTCAGATTTATAAGTTTAACCTCTAAATTTCTCTACAAGATCAGTAGAATATTGCAGGTCAGGGAGCAAAGGGATTGTCTTTTCCACATGTGCAGATCCTCCTAACCTACTTTGGTTCCCATAATATTTTTAAGTTTATTAGTCTTTGGATCAGATCTGTTTTTACTCTTTTGTAGAAGAAAGAGCTTAATGCCTTTCTAGAAGTTGGAAATAAATATCTTCAAATCACCAGAGTAAATACCGAAAATGGTGTCATTTAAGATTATTAGTTGCAGACCATATAACTTAGTCAGGCTAGTTGAAGCAAAAGAAAAATATTCATATGTTAAGGACGCCTACATTGTCTAGGAGGATCAGAGGGTCAGGATTGGAGACCACACAGCTAGGAAGGATTCTGAATCATATTGCTCACTGTTCCCATGAGAACCCAGAATCTCTTCCACGCACCACAGTTACACATCCTGTACCTCTGGACTAGACACAGGTCACAGCTATTAAGACCTCTGTCTGCAGTTACTGTTTCTAAAGACTAGATATGCAGGCCCCTTTGCCAGAATGAATGCAATGCAGTACCTACAGATAGTCTTTGAGTAGCTTCATGTATATGCCTGCATCCTTACCCAGAGTGGCAGCTTTCATAGGGAGATTCACACAGATGGGCTGAGGAAGACTATTCAGAGGTCCTGGGCAGCCAACAAGAATGATGACTGTCCACTGCAAAGGCCTAAAGAGAGCAAGCCAAGCAGCAAGACAATGTGGGTAGAGACCTGAAATCCTGCCTCAGCTGTGAAAACCAAAGTGCAGCATTTGTTAGACAGAAACTTTCCAGAGCCATTCAGACAGGTGTAGCTGCCATGAGCGTGTGTTGTTGTTGCTAGATGCTGGTGGTTGGTGGCATCGACCGGGTTTATGAAATTGGACGCCAGTTCCGGAATGAAGGAATTGATTTGACTCACAATCCTGAGTTCACCACCTGTGAATTCTACATGGCCTATGCAGACTATCACGACGTCATGGAAATCACAGAGAAGATGATCTCAGGTGACTCTCTGCTCCCTTCCTTTCCCAGGCATCTAAAGGGCTTGTGTGCTGCTTTTATAAAGAGGGACTTTCTGCTGGTCCCCTTTAAATGGCAGATTTCTTTCTCAGGTATGGTGAAGCACATTACAGGTTGTTACAAGGTCACCTACCACCCAGATGGCCCAGAAGGCCCAGCCACTGAGATTGACTTCACCCCACCCTTCCAGAGAATCAGCATGGTAAAAGAGCTTGAGAAAGCCCTGGGTGTGAAACTGCCGGAAACACGCCTTTTTGAAACTGAAGGTAAGAGTGCCGATTCCTTCATGCATGTCCTCCTTCCTGTTCAGCTCTGGGGTGAGTTGGGTCCAGGGCTAGAATTCCCCACACTGTTCTCTTCATATACTTTTACTGGGTTAGTATGACGTCTTCTGTCCTGACTTCCTATATTTGCTTTACAGAAACTCGAAAAATTCTTGATGATATCTGTGTCGCAAAAGCTGTTGAATGCCCACCACCTCGCACCACAGCCAGACTCCTTGATAAGGTGAAAGGCCAATGGTGACCTGCCCCTATGAGGATGAACTCTACAAAACTAATTTCTACAGCTTCCTAGGAAAACCCTAGAGAGAAATGAGACAATTACAGGTTTTGAACTATTGTACTCTGTGTCAAATAGTTTTGTATGATCGCTCATTCGTCCTTACTCACCATTGAGAAGCTCAGGTTCAGTCCCTATAGCATCAGGTGTGAGTGAGAGCTGAGTCTCCTTCCACCTAGACTTGGATGATCAAAATGCCATGCAGAAGAGAGTTCTAGCTCTGTTTTGCTTTCTCCTTCAGCTCGTCGGGGAGTTCCTGGAAGTGAATTGCATCAATCCTACTTTTATCTGTGATCACCCGCAGATAATGAGCCCGTTGGCCAAATGGTAAGAAAGCACCGTGTTTCTGTTCCCTGTTGCTGCATAACAACTGTGGAATGTAGTGGCATAAAGTATCAATTTATTCCTAGATTTGTGGGTTCCTTGGGTATTCTGCCCTCCATGGTATTAGCTAGGGTCACTCAAGTGACATTTTTCAGCTGGCATCTTTGCCAGGATACTGACTTCCGCATGGGATCTGGACTTCCTTCAAGGATGGCAGCCAGGTCCCAAGAGGAAACATTCCAAAAGAATAAATACCAGGGCCTCCCCTGGTGGCGCAGCAGTTGAGCCCTGGGCTGCGAAGCTGCCCACAGCCTCTGCAGCGCCAGTTTGATCCCCAGCCACCGGCAAGGGTCCCACATGGCACACAGACCTCTCCTGCCGCGCCTGCTGCTCCCCTCAGCAGTATATTTTGTCACTCTGCCTGTTCTGTTCCCCGCCCTGGCTCTGGTGAATTCTGTCATCCTCCCGTGCTTCTGACTGTACTCAGTGCGTGTATAAATAAATAAATAAATCTTTAAAAAAAAAAAAAAAAAATAAATACCAGTTTGCAAACTCAGGCCTCTACTCATATCCCATTGGCTGTGGCTCAGTATTGAGAGAGACCCAGAAGGGCACAAACATAGGAAGTGGATTCTGTCCCAGTCTGCCACACAGGGCTGTTGTGAAGATGATTAAATGCTCCCTGGTGCTCTCATCCTCTTCAATATTGAGCCAAATGGTTTGGTGGCGAGGATTCAGGCAGGCTTCAGATTGCAATCAGGAACACTTGCATTCACTACAGTTCTCAAGTGTGCGTTTCCCCCAGCTCTCTGTTCAGCCTCCTCTTGGGTTAGATGTTCAGTGAAACTCTGTTCAGCCTCCTCTTGGGTCTCCTATCCTCAGGCACCGTTCTAAAGAGGGTTTGACCGAGAGGTTTGAGCTGTTTGTCATGAAGAAGGAAATATGCAATGCCTACACTGAATTGAATGACCCAGTGCGGCAGCGCCAGCTTTTTGAAGAACAAGCCAAGGTAGGAAAGGAGAATGAGCAGACGCGTTTTAGCAGTGCACCCACTCCCCGGGACAGGAGCCTTAACCCTAGTCTCTGTCATTGCATCTCCTCGTGATTTCAGAAAAGAGAACAAAGCTTCACCAGAGGAATCATTTCAGATAGCAAACCTGACTAGTTTAGCCCTAGTATCCCTACTTGAAAGTAGCTTGGACCTGATACTTATGATGAAAATACATTTGCCTAACAAGAAAATAGTTCTTAGATGTACGTTTAGTGAGGTGCTTGAGGATGAGAGGGAGATAAGGAATAAGAGCTCCACAGTCCACTTGGCACTGGCACTGCCCCTGAAGGGTGGCTTCAGGAATGGGAGAAAGACTTGGGAACCATCAGAGTCTCTGAAAACCAGTCTCAGGCAATAGGGGTGTTCTCAGAGTAATTTCTGTATATTTGGAGGTAGATTTCATCAATCCTGACCTCCAAATCTTTGAAAGAAACGACTCCATCCTGCAGTTAGTGGGAACCCAACTCCCAGGAAGTGCTGAGTGTCCAGTCTCCCCGAGATGAGTGGTGATCCTGCTGCATAGTATAGCAGCATGGAGACACGGTGCAGCCCAGAATGATGGTGCCTTTTGATTCTCTCTTCTAGGCCAAGGCCGCTGGCGATGATGAGGCCATGTTCATAGATGAAACCTTCTGCACTGCCCTGGAATACGGACTGCCCCCCACAGCTGGCTGGGGCATGGGCATCGACCGCCTCACCATGTTTCTCACAGACTCCAATAACATAAAGGTACGGCACCCCGCAATGTGTGTGCTGCCCTGGGAGCCAGGATCCCTGCTGTCTGAGGCCAGGTCCAGGGGGCATTGAGAAAAAGGGAAAAGGTTTGGGCAGGAGGCACCTCAGGCACAGAAGTGCAGCTCCACAGGAGGATCAGTGCATCTGTCCTGATGGAATCTAGGGTTTTTTCTGATGCAACAGGAATACTAATTGCAGTTCTTGAGGATTTAAGGGACATGCTAAGCCCTTAACTGCTTTATCTCATTTAATTAAAGTCAACCCTCTGAGTTGTATAAACTGTTGTCATCTTATTTCTGTGGTGAGCTATTCAGGTTTTAAGAGAACCTCTATTCATTTCTAACATGGTCCCCAAAGCAGTGCATACATTTCTTCTCTCCCTCCTCTAACACTGAAAGGGACCAGTTGAAATAAAAGGTCACGTTTGTCTTTTTAGCCGGGGTATACAGATCCCTGGATTTTTGAGGTAACACTAACCAAAGGCCAAAAGGATGGGTAGCTGTGAAAAGATGGTTTCTAGCTTCAAGGTGCCTTTTTTTAATCACTTGTAGGAAGTACTTCTGTTTCCTGCCATGAAACCGGAAGACAAGAAGGAGAATGTAGCAGCTCCCGGGTCATCTGAAAGTCCCAGCGCAGGCACGTCTGTCTAGAAAAATCACAGTTGCAAGTTGTAAAACTCAGGCACCTCTGCATTTCTTTGGACGCTCAAGGACTGCAAGGGATTCTTGTGAGTTGCTCTCCCTTTGCTGTGGTGGTTCACTTCCATTCACCCACCAGAGAGGGAAGAGGAATAAAGGGTTCCTTTTTATGCCTTGTTCCCAAATAAACCAACAGTCTCTCGTCTCATCACTCTTCATTCTACCTTTGAATATCTACCTTTGTCTCAAGCTGCTGGCCAGGAAAATATTTTGGACCACACACTTTATTCATGCAACAATTTATATTAATGCCAGTTCATGCCAGGCACTGTTAAAAGGGATGAGGGGTGAGTAGACTAACAAATAACAAGTATGTACATATTATTGATGGTGATGGGGTCTACAAAGAAGAAAAATAGAGTAGAGTAAGGAGACAGGTGCTATTTTGGGAAGAGCTGTCTGGGAGCAGTATTAGGTGATGGGGGAGAGCCTTTCTTGTGGGTGACATTTAAGTAAAGAGATGAGGGGAAAAGGTAATCCAGACCAGAGGCATTTTTAAGAACAGTGAAGGATCTGGTATGGGCAGGAGAAGTAAGTGGGGGACTGAATCATAAAGCCCTCTGTAAGGCATACAGAGCACTGTGTATTTTACTAGAGTATGATAGGAAGCCATGGGAAACTTTGGAGCAGGGTGGTTTTAAGAGATTGTTCTAGTGAGCAGGGGGAGGGCAAGAGTGAAAGTAATGGGGAACAGTTAGGCTCTTGCAGGGAACTGGAGAGAAAACTGCTGGTGGGATGTTATTGATAGTTGTCCGGAAAAGAGGTCAAGATGACTTCAAGATTTAGGGTAATGCACGTAGAGGGCTTTAATTGACGTGACTGTTAGATGTCAAGTGGAAATAGAATATTGAACAATGATTCGGGAGTTTTCTCCTTTTCAGGTACTTCAGCTAGACTAAGAATATGACATGGGTGTGGCTAAGCACCTCTTAATATGGAACCCCTGGTCCCTAGCAGGAAGACAGTTGGGAGGAGCTCTTTTCAGTTGAATCATACAACAAAGGATTTGTCATTTGCACTCATCAAAACCTCTGCAAGCACCCTAGTTTGGGAATTGCCAATCTGCTTTCTTAGAGTAGGCTTCCACGTGCTTAGCTGAGCAAACCGATTGCTTAACTGAAAATCACTGCAGGAAATGTTGAGCATCTCCTCCCCCATTACAGTTCAAACACAGGTTCCAGGAGCACTTGGCAGTGCTGGTGGTGTCCACGTGCTATTTCAGACTTCATATGGCACATCCTCAGCAAGGTGATGGTAACTAAAAAGTCATCTCACCAACAGAGGATCCAGGTCCAGGATCAGATGGGGGACTGGACTTAGGCAATACTTTTGTGGGATGAACAGGAACGCAAGGTCCCTAGTTGCTTCTATATTGAACAATTATTTGTATTAATTCACTTTCCAAACTGTATATTCCAGTTCAGGGGCAAGAGTAACCAAAGCCTTTCTTGGCAGGTCAGGGTGAAAGGCAGAACCAACCGTGGTCAGGTCTTATCAAAGTTTTAATTAAATGATGCTTAACAAAATGGCATTCGAAGGCCTGCTGTACAAAAGCCCAAAGAAATAGCGCCAGGAGATTTGTTTGTGGTCACTCTTGAGTGTGTACTATCTCCATCAATGAAGTTTAATTTTTAACTCACCTTAAAAAAGACAACAGCACCAGATGAGGTAGGAGAGTGCTGGCCTTGCAGAGTAGTGAGATTTTGTATTTACAAGTGCTGGGAAGACTAAATTATTTAATGGGGTGACATCATATTTGCATTTTGAAGACATCTGACTGCTCTGAAAAAATACAAGTTGGGCAAGAAAGTATGAAGTCCAGAGGTTAGTGGAACAGCAGTCTAAGTTGGAAGAGGTAGTGGTGGCCTGGACCAGTGTGTCGCCATGGAAGTGAAGATAGGTGGATTCAAGGGATGAGAAGTGAGTCAACAGCTCTTGGCAATGGTTTATGTTGTGGGGATTAAAGGAAAATGACAGGGCCATTACCTTTTTAGTTTATGCAGTAGGTTGATGGCAGTACCAGTACTTGAGGTTAAGAAATCTGGATGATGATTTCCCTGTCAGGATCAGTGTGTCTTTAAGACAGGAGGTTCAGAAACATTACATGATGTGGGAGAAACATGGAGCAGCATCCTTGGCCTCGGGGGAAACCTGTGGCCCTTATACTCTGAACTAAAGAGAGGGATGGAGACAAGTAAATTGCACTTCTGGGGTAATAAGAAAAATAAATCATATTGAGCAATACAGTTAGACCCCTCCTGTCCAGCACAGTAGCTACTAGCTACACGGTTATTGACCATATGAAATGTGACTGGTCCAAGTTAAGATGTATTCTCAAGTGATGAGAATACCAGACTCCTTGAACTTAGTATATACTGACAAAAGGAATGTAAAATGTGTTTTCTTAATTATTGATTACATGTGGAAATGTTAATATTTTGGAAATACTGGACTAATTAAGATTCATAATGTAAATTTTTTTAAAGATTTATTTATGCATATAAGAACTGGGGTAGAGGCCAGAGATGTGGGGGTTGAGAGGATTTACCAGAGACAGTGGGGAACAGAACAGGCAGACTGACTGAAATAACACTGCCGAGGGGAGCAGCAGGTGAGACAGGAGAGCTCTGCTTTACCATGTGGGTTGCTCCCTGGCCGGTCGGGGATCGAACTGTGCTGCAGAGGCCGCGGATTGCTTCATGGTGCGGTGTTTAACCCCTTGCGCCACCAGGGAGGCCCCATAATGTAAATTTTATCTATTTTTTACTTTTTAAGATGTAGCTACTAGAAATTTCTGTATGATATATATAGCTCAAATCATGTTTGGACATGTATTTTGGACAGGGCTGTTTTAGAAGTTCAGACTAGTGTTCCAAAATACGCCACCACACTACTCTTTGAAGACATATCTTCTGCAGTCGGTTTGCTTGAGCCCATTCCTCCCGGAACCAAACCAATGCACCCAGACCATCGGCCAGGCGCCGCTCCCTGAAGGACTACAAGGGCCAGCATGCACTGCGCGCCTCTGGGGCGGGGCCGGGAGGGGTGATCTCTGTAACGTCACGTCTGCGACGCGCCGGCTGTCGGCTTACTCGCGCGGATGCTGGGGTTCTGCAGGTGGGAGGGGAGCGTGTGCGAGGCAATGGGGTTAAGGGGCCAAGGCAGCGCAAATGTGGGGGCGGGGGTCTGTGGGGGCTCCTGCGTGAGGTGTTTTCAGCCTGACCTTCCTCATCTCGTTCTGTGTTAGAAGAGGTGGAGACCGCGCCGCCCCGACGAGTGTCCCGCGGGAAGTGCCCCTCCTTTCCTGGACGGACGAGCACGAGGCGTGAGTCCTCACTGCAGCCGCCCGGGTACCCCGAGAATGCAGACGCCGCGTTTTTCTGGCCTCATAGACTTAGGGGTCTCTCCTGTGGAACCTACCGGGAAGGGCTCTGCTTGCCGGGGTATGGAGGAAGGGAGCCTGAGGGAGTTTGGCTTCCCACTGCTAACGCAGGTTTTCCCTGGCCGGCACCTGCCCTTCCTTCTGTTTCTTGTTTTTGTTTTTGTTTTTTTACATCATTTTTCATTTTTGCACAATGTATGCATTTTCACCTTGGTTACAGTCCCCATACAATTCCCACCCCCCTTATTTTGACCCTTAACCCTCCTCTTCCCTCCCCTCACCGTAGTGTCTCTGGTTTATAGTTGCTTGTTGATTTTGATTTTTACTTTATTATTATTATTGAAAAGGAAGTGGATTCTTCAGTTTATTGGCGCTGTTACAATATGCGGTCTTGTGGGCAACTGAGCTGTTGTTTCATATGAAGAAGTTATTGAAGATCTAGGAAAGGGGGGAGCATTATAATATGCAAAACACTGGTTTATTTCAACCAGTGAGAATCAGCTGCGACCTCTCATCCAGACTCAACTCCTTGGAGGAGGAGGAGATGATATTTCTGGGCTGCTGATTCTTAGACTATCAGCGTTTCTACTGGCTCTGTCTTCTTGCCTATTGTGATACCAACCTCTAGTTTACTTTCATGTTGGGCCCAAAATAATCTGTTTCAGAAGACATACTGCTTTAAATCCCTTCCACTCAAAGGATCCTGGGATCTCCTATGCTTTTCTTTTGCTCCAAGGAGTAGTGAGTCTGACATTAAAGGCACCATTTATGTCAGTTCCTGCGAGAATTTTGTTTAAATCTGTGTGGTCTGATTTACTATGGTCATTTACTGCAGTAACAGACCTGTGCATCGGAACTGTTAAAAGATAAACGTGGAGTGGGAAAGAGCAAAAAAAGATAAACTGAGGCACATAAAATTTTTTAAGATTACATATATGCAAAACTCAGTTGGAATCAGGCAACACCAAATCAGAAGTGGTTAGAAATGCTCTGAAGACAGGAGCCAAGGGGAAAAGTGCAGAAGCAAGAAAGGGAATTATTGACTATAGGTTAATGCCTAGTTGGCTGTTTGTGACTGGTTGTCCTTAGTAATTAGTTTTGATTTTATTACCTTGACCCTTTTCCAGGCTTAGACATTGGTTTACTTACATAAGCCCAATAGCATTTGAGGGGTCTAATGACCCCTCTCCTCAGTCTTATAACCTCCTTGCTTAATTTAACACAATACAGGAGATTCATTTGTAGAAATATTAACTTTCAGAAGCTACATGCATTGGGGCTCAGTAAAGCCCTTTTTAAATTAATGCTTGGCTCTCTCTCACTCTGACAGCTCTGTCTGTCAGATGTTTGAGTCTAAGTGAGGTCTTGCTTACATTTAGTAAGCATTTACTCAAGAATAAACAGGTGAGAGTTTCTAGGAATGTATCTAGGTCTCCTTCAAGTCAGGTCATCTTAATATATTTTTTTCAGTCATGGCTTTATGTGCTCATCACATGCCTTCTACATCCCAAGAAGCTCAGGAAATTCAAGGGTTTTTTGTGATGTTAATCACAGTGGACATTGTGCTCAATATTGTAGCAGCAATATTGTATTTATAAATATTTCGTCTTCACAATATCCCCCAATAGGTTCTATACTACTGTTATTCCTACTTTAGCAGATAAGGAAACAGAAGTTAAGTAATCGGCCCAATGTCGCACAGTTAATTTTAGCAGAACCAGGGTTAGAACCCAGGAAGGGCATCTCCAGAGCCCACACTCCAGCACAACTCTTATAAGGAGCACCCCTGACTAATGAGAAGCCTCTGATGAGAAACTCTCCCCTCTGCCTCACAAAACTTAATAGAAGTTGTTACTTTCCTGACTGGTGCACCCATGCAATTTATGACATTATGTGATGGAGGAAGCGAACTGTACTGCTATGGGGAAAGAGGGAAGTAAAATGCCTGAAAGGAGGACAAGGAGAACATCTTCCAGGAAGGTTGAACCTTGTATGAGGAGGAAGTGCCCAGAGCAGGCTGAGGTCTGCAGCACTGTACACACTGTATCCAAATGGAAATTGGAGTAGCAAGGAGATGTTCCTTGTAGGTGCTTTTATTTCAAGTAGATTCTGGAGTTGCTGGCCCTTGGGATTGCTCTGAGTTTTCCTTATAAATGGGGGGCAGGTGTGGGGGGGGAGTAGGCAGGTAATAGGAGAAAATGACCCAAAGCTCCACATAGAGAACCATCAGTACAAAATGTGGGGCTGGGGGTAAGGAGGAGGGGATTTTTGGTGTGGGGATTGGAGGGTTCCACATCTGAAAGCCTGCTGAAGTACTAGTGTGAGATGGTAACATCTTGCATTGGTTCTCCTTGCTGCATTTCTGATAGTTGTGGGTTTTGACCAGGGTCTCGGCACCAACTCAGACCATGTGGACGGCGGACGAGATTGCACATTTGTGTTATGAGCACTATGGAACCCGGCTACCTAAGCAGGGGAAACCTGGGCCCAACAGAGAGTGGACATTACTAGCAGCAGTGGTGAAGATCCAACCTGCAGCCGACCAGGCCTGTGACTACCCCGACCAACAGGTGCAAGGTGAGACCTTTCCTCCTTAGAGAGCTCCCTCTCTGTCAGGTAATAGAATTATACCATCACTCTGCAGGGAACAGACATCACCCCCTATAAACTTTAATGTTGGGCATATTCCCCAGCTCTCCACTAGGTAATATGCTACTTCCGGTGACCAGAGATAGCCATGATGGAACCATAGTCCCCAGTTGGGTTGGCCTGTGGAAATCTTTAGAGGATTGTGCAGACTTATTAAACCTGAGAACTGGGTACCGATTCAAGGTTCTTTTTTTTTTTTTTTAAACTGAAACTATTTTTTTTTTTTAATAGAGGCATGTTTTTATTTATTTATTTATTATATTTGTTTGTTTGTTTTGTTTATACATGCACTGGGTACAGTCAGAAGCGCGGGAGGGTAGAATTCACCAGAGCCAGAGCGGGGAGCAGAGCAGGCAGAAGGACCGAAGTACACTGCTGAGGGGAGCAGCGGGCGGCAGGAGAGGTCTGCGCACCATGTGGGATCCTCCTCCGGTGGCCGGGGAGCAGCCGGGGATCGAACCGGCGCCGCAGAGGCCGCGGGCAGCTTCGCAACCCAGTGCTCAACCGCTGCGCCACCGGGGAGGCCCCGATTCAAGGTTCTGAGAGCTCACTTAAGGCTGTTTCTTTTCCCCACAGTGACAAAGGAAGTCATCGCTATGGGAACAGGGACGAAGTGCATAGGCCAGTCCAAAATGAGGAAGAGTGGTAAGCCCACGAGGGAGTCTAAGCAAAGCCCTTCTATGGAGCTTTGGGAATCGGTTTCCATGTTACCCTTTTTGTTCCTTCTCAGGGAAAAGGGACCCTGTCACTGAAGTGGCTGACCTTCCAGTTCCCACTAACTCTCACCCGAGTTAGGGCAGAATTCATTTAAAAAATGAAAATCTGAAGGATAGAGTTGGGCTGTCAGCTGTGAACTTAATATAGTTTATGCACTTGTTGATTCTCAAGAGTGAACACCCAAAACATAATGTTATAAAGCAGTGTTACTTCCATTAAAAGAAAAAAAAAATTGGAAATAGACTCTGGAAGCCAAGGCCACTTTCTGAGTGAAGTGAAAGCTGGTCATGGTTTTCATTCTCAGACCAGCAGTTCCCTGGGCCTACCTATTTTAAATTATGTCAGGAAACCTTTGAGCTCAGTTTTGGGTAAAGGATGCAGACTGCATGACTTTTAAAGCCCCAAAGCAATCTTGAATTAAGTGGAAAATTTGGACATCAAAAAGTATGGAAATCCCTTAAAGATCCAACATCTTCACCTTCCCCTTCCAGGTAGCAGGTTCCTCCTGAGTTTGTTCCCGCATTCCCTCCTCTTGCCTTCTGCACTTGAGGCTGTTCCAGAACCATTGTGGATTGAATTCAGTGTAATTGTATTGCAATGAGCACAAGTATAAGACCAGGATAGAAAAAAATCTGAACGCTTCTCCTCTAGATAAAGCTTCCCTATAAATCAGTAGCTCTCAGCTGGGAGTGATTTTGTCCTCCACACCCCATCCCCACCCCAAGGAACACTGTGAATGTCTGGAGGCATTTTTGATTCTCAGAACCATGGGACAGGAGCATGCTGCTGGCCTCTAGTAAGTGGAGGCTGGGAATGCTGCTAACATCATGCAATGCAAGGACAGACGCCCACAACAAGGAATTTTTTTTTAATTCTTTGTGCTGAGTTGAGAAACCCTACTGTAAATGCATTGCCATGAATGGTTGTGACACTTCCATGGCCATCTCAGGTGCTGGGGGAAATTGCTGCTTTCTGCTACTAGGAACCAGGGCCTCTCCAGGCTCCATATGTCCTCACCCAGTGTCCTGTCTTTGCCACAGGAGACATCCTCAATGATAGCCATGCTGAGGTCATAGCCAGGAGGAGTTTCCAAAGGTAAATCTACCTCCCCAGAGAGTATGATTCTGCAGGTCTAGGGTAGGGGTCGGAGATTCTGCATTTCTAATCAACTTGAAAGTAGTGCTGGTTACTTCAGCCTGTGTACTACACTGAATAGCACCACTCTGGACAGTGATTCTGCTGCTTGAGTGTGCATCAGAACACTGGGAGGGGTTGATAACACCCAGATTGCCGGTCCTACCCTGAGAAGGTGCGTTTCTAACAAATTCCCAGATAATGCTGGTGCTGCTGGTTCAAGAGCCACACTTTGAGAATCACTTATCTAGACTATTCTCATAATTCCTAATCCCCCTGCCAATCTCCCTTTTCCACAGAGATTGTTCATCCTGATAATTTTTTGTAACCCACTAGGTACCTTCTCCATCAGCTCCACTTGGCAGCTGCCCTGAAAGAGAATAGCATCTTTGTCCCAGGAACTCAGAGAGGACTGTGGAGACTCAAACCCGACCTCTCCTTTGTGTTTTTCTCCAGCCATACACCCTGTACGTAAGCCTTTGGATTAGTGTCATATTATTTCCCCCCTTTTGCTTATATTTTTCATAGCTATGTTTTTTAAAAAAAAAAAAAAAAGAACACTTCTGCCTGGAGTGTAGCTATAACCAGTCACAGGGCCTTTTAGTGTGGCTCAGCCTGTTTGCATAACCACTTCTCTACCAAGGAGAAGGGTGGCTGGAGGAGGGGGGGAAGCCTCATTCATGCTTTTATTCAGTGCCCAAGCAGAACTGGGAATCTTTAAAGCTGTAACCCCTCAAAGTCTTGAAACCAACAATGCGGTTTAGAAGTACTAAGCCCTGAGTTCTATAGTTCATTCAGATGAAAAGCCATTTCATTCATTCAGGTATTTTCTGCTGTTGTCAAGTATAGTAGGACATGTTGGGTACATTGCTATGAATAAGACTAGCTCCTTTCTTACCCTCATAGAACCTTTCAGGGAAAGTATATAGTCGTGGTAGGGTTAATTTTGATGAGTTATAAGGGGATTTTTCAGGTGCTATGCTTGCAGGAAGGCCAGCCCTAACCTAGGTGGGCATTTCTATCCTCTGGTTTTCTCCAACCATATACCCTATACGTGAGCCTTTGGATTAGTGTCATATTATTTCCTCCCTTTTGCTTATATTTTTCATAGATATGTTTCTTGAAAAAAAAAAAAGAACACTTCTGCCTGGTTCCATATGTCCTCACCCAGTGTCCTGTCTTTGCCACAGGAGACATCCTCAATGATAGCCATGCTGAGGTTATTCTTATCACAGGAAAATTGAGACTAATTCCTGCCTTTGTAGACTGCTCAGTAAATGATAGTAAACTGTCCTTCTCAAAACTCTGAAATAAGGATAAAACGACTAAAATTAACCCATGCAGTTAGAGCAGAGATAGGTAATCATACTGTAGAATCAACAGCTTTCAAAGCGCGATTGTAACTCAAATTGAAAGTATTAATATAGCATAAAAAGGATGAGTCTATCAGGAAAGAGATGGTTAATCATTAAGGGCCAGAGAGATGACATAGAAAGGCAGGCAGGGCTCTCCCTGTCTGGAAACTTTACTAGTCTGTGAAATCAAAATGTGGAACCCCTAATTTAACTCCCCTACCTCTTAGGTAATCTTTTAAGATGTGATAGCTCTGCACAGTTTGTCTGCAGAAAGAATGAATGCTCCATAGAGGATGGGACTGTCTGGCCCTCTGACATTTATTCCTCATTTGGTGCCTGGGTTAGCTCCTTCAGACTCTTCTTGTGAGTTTTGTTGCTGTGAATCAGACTCTCAAGTTCAGGCATCTGTCAAGATCAAATCTCCCATTCCCTGGTGGGCCCCAGAGAATTCTCCAAAGTCACTGTCACCTTGTGAGGTCTCTGCAAGCCCACCAGCCGGCCTTTCTGGCATCACTCCCGGTTCTACATCTCTTGCCTTTCCCACGCTTAGGTTATAAAGGCTACAGATGTATTATTTATGCCCTTCAGAAAAATAGCACACTGTAGGTGAGTGACTGAAGATGTGACCCCTTCTCAGGGGAAAGCTGTGCGTTTTCCTGTCCTGGCTTTCTTTGAGATCCTGTGAGCAGAGTGGGCCACAACTCTAAACCAACATGGGAAATGCCAGTTGTGATATTTACTGCCTCTCTTTCCTGTGAGGAGATGCACATAAATCTCCAAGATGGGGACATTGTAAGCAATGTTTGCCAAACCTATTTAGCCATGAAGTAAACCATCCACTTCTGTTTTCCAAGGCACCTCTCCAAAATGCGCTTGGGGAAACTGCTCATTCTAAACCAGCACTTCTCAAGTCAAGGCAGTTTCATTCCCCAGGGGACATTTAGATGTTCAGACTGGGGTGCTAGTGGAAACTAGTAGATAGAGACCAGGAATGCCGCTGAGCATCATATAATGTACAGGAGGGCCCCACAGCAAATTCTTTGCCCGAAATGTCAGTAATGTGGAGGTTGAGTAACCCTGGCCTAAATCAGTATTTCCCAAACTTCCTGTGATAAGAATGACCTGGGATCTTTGTTAACTTGTTCAGTTTTCCCAACCCCGACCCCCAGTTCCACCCTGAGATTTAACTCCCTGGATCTAGGGTAGAGTCTTCAGTGAAAGCCCCAGAGGATTCTTACTAGGAAAGTTCGAGCAAGTGTTCTTAATTCATCTCGGTTCACTTGAGATTAGAACTCATGTTTGTTTAAGGCAGTGGCCCTCAAACTTGAGCTTGCACCAGAATAATCTAGAGAGCTTGTTAAACTGATGGCTACCAACTCCAGAGCTTCTGATTAGCAGGTCTTCTGAGGGTCCCAAGAATTTGCATTTCTAATGATTTAACAAGGGATGAGGTTGTGACTGCTCTGGGACCTCACTTTGAGAACCACTGGTTTAAAAGGTTCCTTCTCCTGCAGGTGGGGATGCCTCCATCATTCCAATGCTTGAGTTTGAAGATCAGCCTTGCTGTCCAGTCAGCAGAGATGGGGCCAGTAACCCAGCAGTAGATATTAGTGGTAACCTGGAAACTCCTGGAGATAAAAGGAAATATGAAGACCCAGAGTGTAGCCTGAACAAAAAGATAAGGCCTGAGCCTGGGACTCCTGCCAGGGAAATCACCAATGGGGCAGCTCACTATCAGAATTCCAGCAATCAGGAAAGTGACCCTGTCCCGCCAAGTGTCAGCAGTTCTGCTGTGCTCACCGCGGAGGGACTGGCTGATGTCACCACAGAGGCCCCTGGTTGTGCCAAGGTGGTGGATGTTTATAGAACTGGAGCCAAGTGTGTTCCTGGAGAAGCAGGAGACTCGGGGCAACCTGGTGCTTTGTATCACCAGGTGGGGCTGCTCCGAGTGAAGCCAGGCCGGGGAGACAGGACCTGCTCCATGTCCTGCAGTGACAAGTTGGCACGGTGGAATGTTCTTGGATGCCAAGGGGCACTATTGATGCACTTCCTGGAAGAGCCCATCTACCTGTCAGCTGTGGTCATCGGGAAGTGCCCATATAGCCAGGAAGCCATGCAGAGGGCACTGATCACGAGGTAAAGGGGCCGGGAGGGAGGGCCCAATTAGAGCAACCTTTCTGAGGAGCAGTCTTGAGAGTAGGTCCAAAGCGCCTAAAAAACACCCATACAGGGCCTTCCTGGTGGTGTAGGCGGTTGAGCGCAGCACTGTGGAGATGTCTGCAGCCTCTGCGGTGCTGGTTTGATCCCAGCCGGCTTCGGAGCAGCCCGCATGACACCGCAGACCTCTCCTGTCTATGCCTGCTGCTCCCCTCAGCAGTGTATTTCGTCAGTCTGCCTGCTCTGCTCCCCGCTTTGGCTCTGGTGAATTCTTTTACCCTCCCGTGCTTCTGACTGTACCCAGTGCTTGTATAAATAAATAAATAAATCTTAAAAAAAAAAAAAAGATAGAAAAAGGGTAATCCTACAATAATGTGTGCTTTCCCCTGTTCTGGAAGTAATTGCTTTGTGCTCAGTTCTGGACGAGACTAACATCAGCATCTAGTTTGTGTGAAATTAAGAAATGAAGCTTATTTTAATATGGGATAATTTTGGTTTATGGTATTTTTTTAAAGATTTATTTATGCATATAAGAACTAGGGTACAAGCTAGAGTTGTAGGGGAGGTGAGAGGATTTACCAGAGACAGAGTGGGGAGCAGAACAGGCAGACTGACGAAATACACTGCTGAGGAGAGCAGCAGGTGAGTCGGGAGAGGTCTGATGCACCTGTGGGTAGCTCCCTAGCCGGGTATCGAACTCATGCTGCAGTGGCTGCGGACAGCTTCATAGGTTGTGTCTTAATCCCTTGCACCACCAGGGAGGCCCGGTTTATGGTATGTTTAAAGAAACACCTAGAAACAGGTACCAGCAAGTTAATATCTCTGTTGAAGGTTTTCAGATCTTTCAAAGCCAATACCAGGAATGGTGCTGCACTGAGAGCTAGTGACTCAATTCGTAGTTATCCCTTTAGAGGGATGAAAAGGACCTCCCTTCATCCACAAGGGTCCTATCATCTAGATTCTATTCTGTCACTCCCCTCCTAAACAAACAAATAAATCCACATATATCCTAAGGCTTCAGCCTCCCACCCAGACTCAGGGTGCTGATTGCTGCGTCCTAGATACACTTTTTCTCTAGGGGTATACCTAAACTGAATGTGTTTTCCCTCACATTTAGGTGTCAGAATGTCTTGGATTTACCCAAAGGTTTTGGAGTTCAAGAAGTGAAAATACAGCAGTCGGATTTACTATTTGAACAAAGCCGCCGCGCAGTGCAGGCGAAAAGGACTGACAGCGAATGCCGACTGGTTCCTTGTGGGGCAGGTAGGAGATCCAGGTTCCACTTGTCCCCATACCCCATTGTGGCCTGGGAGGAGCTGCATCCTCCCATCCTGAGGAGGTGGTTTCCCACGCTAGTGATCACTGGTGTGGTTTGGGGAGACACGCCCACTGAGTCAAGTTACTGCCTTCTTTAGCCTGAGCTGCTTCGTCTTCACATAGCATCATTTATTTGTGAGGGTTGTTTGAGGATTAAATGAGAAATTATTTCATGCGTTTACTGTGTGTCCAGCACATAATTAATGCTCAATGATTTCAATGTCTGTTAGCTGTTACAATGTCAGTCATGAACCACCTTATACTGCTGTACCCAGAGACCAAGCCTCAAGAGTCTCAGTCATTCTCTCTGACATTGTGTTCCATTCTCACGGGTCTGGCTGCAGAAGCAGAGATACATTTTCATTGAAATCCATCTGGCAGGGCCTCCCCAGTGGCGCAGCAGTTGAGCGCTGGGTTGCGAAGCTGCCTGCAGCCTCTGCAGCGCCGGTTTGATCCCTGGCTGCTCCCCGACCACCGGAGGAGGGTCCCACATGGCGCGCAGACCTCTCCTGCCGCCCGCTGCTCCCCTCAGCAGTGTACTTTGGTCCTTCTGCCTGCTCTGCTCCCCGCTCTGGCTCTGGTGAATTCTCTCGCCTTCCTGCGCTTCTGACTGTACCCAGTGCTTCTATAAATAAATAAATAAATCTTAAAAAAGAAAAAAAGAAATACATCTGGCATTTTCAGAAAATGGAACAGTTTTAACCCCAGAATCTTATCTTGTCATAGCCATCAGCTGGAGCGCAGTACCTGAGCAGCCACTGGATGTCACTGCCAATGGCTTTCCACAAGGAACAACGAAGAAAGGAATTGGAAGCCTCCAGGCCAGGTACAGCATATTGGGGCAGGAGGAGATCGTGGCTGTGCCTCATGCCTCTAATTTCAGCACACTGTCAGAATCCCAAAAGGAAAACCCTGTATCCGTCATCAGTCACTCCCTACTCCCTGTTCTTACCACCCCTGACAACTGCTAATTTACTTTCTATCTACATGGATTTATCTATTCTGAACATTTTTCATGTAATGAGATTTCATAACGTGATCTTTTGTGTCCAACTTCTTTCACTTAGCATAATGTTTTCAAGGTTCATCCACGTCACAGCATATATCAGGTCTTCGTTCCTTTTCATGGCACAGTAGTATTCCATTGTGTGGACAGTACCACTTTATGTTTACCCATCAGTGGACATTTGAGTTGTATCACTTTTTTGGCTATTATGAATAATATAGCTTTTGGATGGACATGATGTTTTCCGTTTTCTTGGTGTGCCTGCGAGTAGAGTTGAGGGTCATATGATAACCTTAATGTTAAACTTGTTGAGGAATTGCTAAATGGTTTTCATTAGCAGGTGTGCCATTTTAAACTCCCACCAGCAACATAGGAAGGTTTCAGTTACCTACATCCTTTGCAACACTTATTACTTTCTGTCTTTTTATTATGACAGTTCTGATAGATATGAAGTGCTATTATTGTGGTTTGGGTTTACTTTTCTCCAAAAACTAATGATGTTAGACCTTTGTGTATTTCCTTTGGAGAAATACCTATTCAGATCCTTTGGCCATTTTTTAAATTGGCTTATCTTTTTATTATCGAGTTGCAAGATTTCTTTATATATTCCAAATACTAGTCCTTATCAGATATATATAGGCAAATATCGCCTCCAATTTTGTGGGTTGTCTTTTTTTTTTTGATAGTGCCCTTTGAGGAACAAAACTTTTATATTTTGATGAAGTCAATTTTATCTTTTTCCTTTAGTGATTTGTGCTTATGGTACTTAAGAAACCATTGCCTAATTCAAGTTCACAAAGATATAATTTCTTCTATTTAGGACTCAGATAACCACTTGGAGTTAATTTGTTCTGTAGCATGTGAGATAGAGATGCAACTTCATTCTTTTGCATATGGGTCCAGTAGTCTAGCACCAATTTTTGGAAAGATTATTCTTTGTTTTTGGAGATTTTGAAAAGCGCATGTTCCTTGGGCTCTCTCACCAAGGGATTCTGGTTGATTAGATTAAGGTTGAAGCCCAGAAATCATTTATGAATTCCCACAGTGATTGGACTGGCAAAAAGGGCACTTTGGATATAGGACTTTTCATCTTCAACTGGCTTTTGTTGAAATGTAGTGTGTGTATTCTGCTGAACATCCTTGCGTGTCTAGAGGTTCACATATCTGCCTTAGTGGTTCTTCACTGCTAAATGCTCAGCCCAACTCCCCTCCCCTCCCAGTGAGCCACAGGAGGGCCTGTTGCAAGGAGGGTGCTCCTGATAAATGATTATTGTAGACTTCCCACAATTTATGGAGAGTCTTTTGTGCTCTAAGTTGCTCTTCCATTTCTTTATCATGCCCTTCTTAAAAGTTGTAATTAAATTTCACATATTTGTTTTCTTTTTGGCATGTTTATTTGTCTGCCTCAACCTAATAATAACAATTTCTATATTTTTAGACTTAAAACCAGGATTCAAATGCCTCCATGGCAGACCCAGCCTGAATTCTGGTGGACTAAGTTGTTGAATTAAGTAATATTTACGAAATTGGGTGAGGCAGTGTCGGGGGCGTAGAGATTTTGGACTCCATTTTCCCCCCAAAGGCTTTCCTGGCTTCAGGCTGCTGTTTCAACCTCTCATGGGACTAACTCATAGCCACAGACCAGGATGTGTGAGCTAAGCAGGCCACCAGGGAGGGGACCACGTGTTTCCTGCTGAACTGTGTCAGCTATCAGTGACCCAGTAGCAATAACTCATACCCCCTCCCCCCACCTGACAATGACTGCAGCTTGCTGCTTTGCTTAGGTCTGAAATGCTCTTCCTCAGCCCTCTTTCACTTTGAAAGTTCATCTCCACTTCCACTAACCCCAGCTCAAAATTACCATCTTTTCTCCAAATTCCAATAGTGCTCTTCTCAGCTTGTCTCGGTATATCAAGCTTTCTGTGTGACTAGAGGCACATCATGTTCTCACTCTGGCTCTTTCTCCAGTTATCCAGGTGACTTTGGACAAGTCCAGCTGCTCGCTGGACCTCAGTGTGTTCATGTCTGTGAAACGAGAATATCAGAGTATCGCTAAGGCCCCTGACACACTGGCTGTCAGAGAAGGCAGTCTCCGGGGTGTGGTGGAAAGAGCAGAAGGTTTGCAATTCAGGAGACCAGTGTTTTCATTACTGGCCCCTTTTCTCCCCAGTTGTATGAACTTAGGCAGATACTTTACCTCTCTGAACCTCCCTTCCCCCAACAACTAAGCAATCGTAAATAAGAGTATCTATCACCCAGGTAACGTGAGAATTGAATGAGAGAGTTCCTCCAAGATAGCACAGGGCTGGCACAAGCATCTTGCTAATTTGGTTTCCCCTTCCATCATCAAAGGGAGCTTCCTATGTGTGAAAGAGAGTAACTGTTGTTCAGTTTCTTTTAGCTGCTGGGGCTGAAGCAGGTTTTCTCACTACTTATTCCTGAGTCCGTGCATCCTGGGACCAACCTCTTTAGAACTGTAGGGAATATGAAATTAGATTGGGATAGTAAAGACATTTATTATACTTTCTTACATGTATTCCAGTTAAGTTTTATCCCTTTAACATCTTAGATTTATTCCTTGCCTGTTGTATTGGTTATCTATTGCTGTGTAACAAATTAACTCCCAAAACTTAGTGCTTTAAAATGACAATCTACATTTATTATTATTTCACACAATTTTTATGAGTCAGGAATTTGGGGATCAAGTGGGTGATTCTGGCTCAGGGCCTCATGATGTTGTGGTTCATATGTCAACCAGGCTGTGATCATCTGAAGGCTTGGTTGGGGCTGGCAGATCCAGTTGACCAATTCCAGAATGCCTCATGGCCCACACGTCAGTGCCAGCTTTGGCAGGAAGTCTCAGTTCCTCACAACCTGAATCTTTTCATAAGGCTAAGAGTATTCACATCACAACGTGGTTGCAGGCTTCCCCTGGCACAAATGATCCAAGACAGCAAGGCAGGACCTCCCCGGTGGCACAGCGGGTTGAACGCAGTGCTGTGAGGCTGTCCGAAGCCTTTGGGTGCCGGTTTGATTCCCGGCCAGCCAGGGAGATTCCCACATGGCACAGCAGACCTCTCCTGTCTCACCCGCTGCTCCCCTCAGCAGTGTCTTTGGTCCGTCTGCCTGTTCTGCTCCCTGCTCTGTCTGTGGTGAATGCTCTGACCCTCCCACACCACTGGCCTGTACCCCAGCTCTTGTATAAAAATAAATAAATCTTTAAAAAAAAAAAAAAAACAAATAAGACAGCAAGGCAGAAGCCGCGGTGTCTTTATCACCTAGCCTCAGAAGTCCTACTCCATTTGCACCTTCCTATTGGCTACACAGGTCAGCCCCACTCATTGTGGGAGGGCCTTACACAGGAACATGAATTCCAGGAGGCAAGAATCACCACCTTGGAGTTTGGCTGCCACAAGAGACTATTTTGCTTAAAACTTTTTATTTCTTTTTCTGATCGATGCTATTAGAATCAATTTTTTATTTCTGTTGCAATGAATATTTATATCCAGCAACCTTGCTAACTCTTAGTATTCTTATAATTTATCTGGGAATGTGTAGAATTTTCTAATTAGGTTATTTTTTGCAAACAGTATTTCTTTTCTAATCCTCCACTTCTTATATTTATTTTTCTTACAGTGCTGGCTAGAATTGAATATATCACAGATCTCTAAATAATGACTTTGGTGTTTGCTTTTCAATCTTTACTCATTTTATTTCATATCTTACTGGCCAGAACCTTCTATATAACTTGGATAAAAGCAGTGATAGCCAGCCTTGTCTTATTCCTGATTTTCAGGAGACAATATTTGCTGTAAAGATTGAAATCCTGTCTTTCCTAGACCTGGTTTGCTAAAAGGTTTTAAATCATTCAGTGGTTGTTCAATTCTAATAAATACCTTTTCTGCATCTATCTCCCTCAGATTACCTTTCTCCTTGTAATTTGTGAATAACTTCTGTTTATTTTGATATTAAAGTGGCCTTCTCTTTCTCAGTGCTAATAGCCCCTCTAGCACTGTTAAGGCCCTATGAGAGAGGCAGGTGAGAGCTCAGGGTTCCTCTTTAAGCACTAACTCCTGGAGTAAGCCGGGACCAGGCCAGGTAAGGGGGCTTTCGGGCAGACTGTACTACATAGTGTCTATAACTGCTGGGTCCAAGCCGAGGGATATTTACGAAGACAGTGAAGGGGATGGCACGTAACAATGAGGCTACACATTGTTGGCACAATTTTCTGGGCAGCCGCAGCCACAGCCTGAATGGGGAAAACCAAGAAGGCCCAGGTGGCTGCTGAGGAATCCACACTCACTGTCTTCACTGTTCAAACTGTGATCTCCCTGAAGCTTGACATTAGCAGCAAAGGATTGTTCTCAAAACATCCATCAGACCCATAGTCTGGAAATCCTGCTCTGGGTGCATGTCCTATTGCCTATATAACCGCAGTTCACACAGGAAATAGCACTCAGGCTTCTGGAGAAACCTCAATTTCCTGATTAGCAGTTTTACCCATAGGGACTTGAAAGGCAGTAAGCAGCACTGTGATTGGTATCCTTGGGGGTGATTTAGCAATTCCACCTGTCTTTACTCCATTTGAGCCTGGTGCCTTGATGATTTCACTGTGAATGGCAAGGTGAGGTTCGTCTTAATGCTTTGCCCTCTTCAGATGCTCGGGTGTAGATTTTCTCCTTGCCAAACGCAAGAGAAGATGGGGGCTCTGGGACATTCAAAACTGAGCCCCATGTGACGCCTGGTATCTCTGATAGCAGCCTGGTGCTTAGTAACCACTTAATAAAGCCTCTGTATTTTTCTGAACAGATCTCGAATCAGCAAAGTGGAATTCTTTCGGTCATTCCAGAGCCTGCTAAGGAGTATTTCAGAGGACAGATGGCCAGATTCCCTCAGGTGATGCTGTTGATCCTGGTTTTTTCACGTTTAGGAAGAATTGCAGTTTAGTTCTGGCTTAGGAGTGGCAGGAAGCCTTGGCAGGAGTGGTAACTGAGAGGGCCAGTGGGCTTTACTACCACATGCTCGGCCTCCTCACAGCTACACTTGCAGGTACGGCATGACCTGAGGTATGGAAGATGGGGCATTTGGTGGTACAGTCACGAGAGACCAAGGGTAGAGTTGGGGCCTCACCTAGTCCAGATCCTCCTTCTGTGCCATCTCCAATGGAGCACACAATGGAAATGCATGTGCTGGGAGAGTTATACATTCTATTCTCTTTTTCTGTCATTCACATCACTGGTTGTGAACTGCAGCTTCACGATTTCAGTTGCACTCCACACAGGAATGTCTCGGAACCACTCTGGGGGCAGGTGGGTGGGTACAGTTCAGACATTAACACACAGTGTTAGGCCAGATGGACAGTTGAGCACCCAGCCCCCCACACACTACCCTCCCATCAGACTCCACACGACTCCGTCCCTTCCAAGTCATCATACTTCTGAACAAGTAACTATAAGTTCGGGGTTCCCACTACACCCTCAGGTTTGATAATTCATTAGAAAAACTTACAGAATTCAAGAAAACCCTGTATTTTCAATGACCTTTTATTGTAAAGGTTACAAATCAGGACCAGCTGAGAAACAGTCAAATAGAGTGAGGTCTGAAGGGTCTCAGCCACAGTGATGCTTGTGTGTCCTCAGGCTACCCCCCCCCCAATCACTGTGTATCACCAACCAGAAAGCTGATCTGAGCTTCGGGGTCGGGGGGTTTTATTAGGATTTACTGATAGGTGTGATTGATTTAAGTATTTGCCATGTGATGTGATTAAACTCAGTCTCCCTCATTCCCAGGAGATCAAACTGATGTCAGAGGGCTCAAAACCCCAACTCTCTCATTGTATGGTCATTCTGACATGACCAGCCCCTGCCCAGAGCTGCTCAGTCACCTCATTAAACATCAACCCAGGTGTGATTTGAGGCATTTCTCTCTCTCAAGGTATTCTGAGGTTTAGGGGTTTCCTCCCATGAACTGGCAAAACCCTTTCAAATTCTGCATTCAAAATGGAACGGGATGGGTTTCCATAGATTCTGTGCAGCAATAAAAGTAAATCTGGACTTAGGTCAGGAGAGAATGACCTAAGTTTAAGGGATTCTCATCCCTTAACTAACAAAAAGCTATAAGAAATTTATCAAAGCCTGAAATCAGCATTGCTATCTTTAGCAGATTTTCTCTGCTGAAGTGAGCTAAGAAACAACTTGGGTCTCCTCAGATCTTGGCAAAGAACAAAAAGGTAGAAGCTGGATAAAATCACATGAATCAGTTTGACGTATCTTGCAGTTTCTTTTACTAGAAGATAACAAGGTCAGCTTCACAGGTCCGGGCTAAGCCAAGAAGAGGGCTCTGGGGTACCTGACTCAAGCTTAGTCAAAGGAGAGTCTTTGTCAGAAGAAAAGTTTTCAACTGGGTTTAAGTCTCACAAATATGACTCAGCGTGTCAGCCATTCTTCAGGAGTGAGAGATGGCTGAGGGGCTTGGGAAGGGGTATTGGCTGGCAGAACACAGGAGAACATGGATACGATGGGAAATGCTTTGGCTTCTTAGGAAAAAATGAAGCCATGAAGCTTCTAATGGCTAGGTCCACTGTGAAATTATAGGCACGTAGAAAACTTGAAACCAAAAAGTATAAACATTTACTCTTATTTTTCTGATTGCACCCAGACTGGGTAAAACTAGCATTCTGTTTATTCTTACCTGTTTTAATCTGTGCTGCTTTATAGTGAATTCCTTGGAAAGGGACAGAGCATGTCCAAAGTCTTCTGTTCCCAAGTCTCTCGTAGTGTGTCCAGTTAGCAGATTGCTCTGATGTCTTGTCAGCCACAAAGGCGAGCAGCTCAGTGAGAAGCTGTGTGTTTGGTGCTATGTGTGTATTAGGGTGCAGCAGCCTGAGACCTACCAAGAGTACAAGGAGGCCGCGTCTGCGTACCAGGATGCCTGGAGCATGCTCCGGAAGCAGGCCTTCGGATCCTGGATCAGAAACCCCCCGGATTATCACCAGTTCAAATGAGAAGGGAACAGCTGCAGACCTTCCTGGCAGCAGGCTGGTTTCCAGTTGTTCCTCCTGGACAGTCATCTTCTCCTGTGCTGAACAAGACTTAACTTTTCTTGTGGCTGAGTCGGGAGAAAAAAAAGTCTGCCAATACCAGAGCAGCATACCTCTTTTTGTGTAAGATGATGAAATCCAAGACATGGAACAATCTATGCCTAATTGAAGAGCTCTTAGCTAAAATGGCATCTTGCTCATGACCTTAGTATCTGCCCTAACTTGTGTTGTATTGCATCTCTAAAAATGTGGAACAAGATTTGGAGTGCGATGTTTTCAAAGTTCTCAGCAGTACTTCCATTTTGTGTGCCCCTGCATTGATTCTGTATTTATCAGGCTGAGATGCAAGTTTGAGAGCTTCCGCTGGCGTCCTGGTCTATCTTTTGTCTGCCCAACCTTTCTTCCTTTGGAGAATCACCCTTCCCTGCTCTGTCCAGAGGTCTTGGTTAAATCAAACCTTCCTCCTGGCCAGCCCTGGACTGTCTGGGAACTAATGCCAAAGCCATCCGGAAAGATTCTCTCTCCTCTTGAATCCAGAGCCAGAGGGCCACTTAAACCTGGGACTGCCCATTGCTGTGCCAGAGACAGCCAGCTTGACAGTGAAGGCAGCAAGAAGGAAACAGCCAAGAGACCCAAAGCTCCACGAACCATGTTTGGGTGCCAGGAGCTGGACTTCTGTTATGAAAGATAAATTCCCGTTGTGGTTTTGAGCGAGCCTATTTGAGTCCTTCTCTGTGTCTTTCAGCTGCAAGAATTCTGTCTAAAAGGCCAAGATTTCCTATGGCGAATCAACCATCCGGTCTTAACTAGCATCTACCATTTAACTCTTAACCTCTTCACCCTTGAATTAGTGCCTGAAAATGGAAAGTCTCCACATTGGGGGACTACTCAGTGTTCTTGTCAGTTCTTGAGCATTTTTTTAATAGCTGTAAATATTTTTCAGTAACTGCATTATTGGTATGTAATTCATGTACCATAAAATTTACCCACTTAGAGTGTACAATTCAGTGGTTTTTGTTATAAATTTTTGTTATAAATTGGGGGCCAGTGGGCAGGACAGTACCCACTAGTAGTCACTACCCACTTCCCCCCACCCTCCCTAGCTCCAGGGACAGCATCTGCGTTCCCTCTCCAGACTCACCTGTTCTGATCATTCATGTCTATGGAATTCCACCATATGTGCTCTTTTGTGACTGGCTTCTTGGACTTAATAATGTTTCTTAAGATTCATGTTGTTGAATGAACTAGTACTTTATTTCTTTTGGGGGAATAAAAATAACATTCAGTCATATGGCTACATCGTGTTTTGGTTTTGCAGTTTTCAGTTGTTGGACAATGGAGGTGGCTTCCACTTTCAGCGCTTACGAAAAGCACTGGCTGTGCACATTCACGGCCAAGTCTGTGTGTGAACATAGGCGCATACATTTTCTTAATTACAGAAGCAATACATCTTTGTCTTAACAAGTTACCCTTGAACTTTTTTCTGTAATAAATCCTTTTGTCTTTCACCTCACACCATGGATTCAAGTACTTCACCATCTTAATGGTTGTTCCCTGCATGTGCCCAACTTAATTTTCAACTTTTAAAAATAAAATTAAAATAAACTTTATAAATGAAAAAAAAAGCAAAAAGTTTTCTGTGAACTGTAGAAACATAAGAAAATCCTCAGAAGTGACATTGTATAAAGAGGAGGGAATCTCACAACATGCTTTAGGCAATTGTTTATAATTCCATTCTTTTTACTAACAAAATGTCTTCCGGAATTTAGCCTTTCCAGGGAAGTTTATGTTTTCATTATTGCTTCTTTGTGTTCAAAGGGGTTCTGATGTTATGATTACATGTGCATAACTTTTATTCTCTTTAGAATTTTTTTTAAAGATTTATTTATGCATACAAGAATGGGGTACAGGCCAGAGGTTTGGGGGATAAGAGGATTCACCAAAGACATGGTGGGGAACAGAACAGGTGGACTGATTGAAATACACTGCTGAGGGGAGCAGCGAGCCAGTCAGAAGAGGTCTGCTCCGCCATGTGGGTAAATCCCTGGCTGGGGATCGAACTTGTGTTGGAGAGGCTGCAGACAGCTTCATAGGTTGCGTCTTAACCCCTTGCACCACCAAGGAGGCCCTCTTTTTAGAATTTTTAAAACTTGGTTTGGCTTAAGTAATTTTGTGTGTGTGTATGTATTTATATATATAAATTTATATATGTTTGTATAAACATCTATATCATGCAGTCACTTCTGGGGTTAAATGCCTTGTTTTATGGAGCTGACCAATGCCAAGCATTAGCTCACTGTCTGGAGAAATGAAGCTGCTGTGGAGAAAATGACCCACCCTGGCTGCCTGCGCTCCTGCAGGAAGAGAAGCCGGCCTTGTCTGACTTGGTCGTGTCTGTGGCTGGTGGAAAACTGCTCCATCTGGACCTTGGCAGTATTTTTTGGCCTTTAGATGATGTTCTGAGCAAGTCTTAGGCAAAGTTTTCCAGTTTCTAAAGCCCAGTTTCCTGGCTCATTAAATGGCTGAATAAGACAATGTTACCTTTTCAGCTGCCACTGTCCTGTGACGGTGTCTGGGGCATCTAAGGAACTGTGATCAGGTTAGTCTCTACAGAAGGCAGGTTATCAAAACTAGGAAAGGCGTCCAGTAGAAAGATAGTGTCTTTGCCATCACTTTTGCGGGCTCAAGCATTTCTTTCCACAGAAACAAAGGCAGCTATCCTGAAGAACACTTGGATCCAGAAAGAGCCAACAAGGCAGATATTTTGGAGAAAGCAACTTTATGTTCCAGAAAGAAGAGCTCTTTTTACTACCTCGTATTAAGGGATCATAGTTGGCATTCAAATCCTATAAATGCAAATCCTTAAATGTGTCTGTACTGTGGCTAAGACTGACTTCCTGGAAGGCTGCCCAGATGGATCCAAAACAAATCTGTAGTAATACTGGCTTTCCCGAAGAGGGAGGAACATTCCACAGAGACCCTTCAAGGCTGCAGGCAAAGTTGCCTGAGTCAGTTTTATTTCTTTAAACTTTTAAATTTGATTTCTTAATCTAAGAGGGTAGAAATCAGAGCAGTGGTTGTTGCCTGGTGGGAGGAGATTAGAAAAGGTGTTGAGTGGAAAATGCCCTGGGGAACTTTCTAGGATAATGGCAATACTCTTTGTTTTGATTGGAGTGTTGACTGTGTGGGCTTAAGCTTTTGTCAAAATTTATGCATTATGTTGTATGTAATTATAGCTCCATTTCAAAATATACAAAAAGTGACCTAGTCCTTATTACTACTTGGACTAGTAGAAAACTTTGGTCCAGATATTTAATTAATTGTGTTGTAATACCAACTCTGCCATTACTTTGTGAGGATTTGGGCAAAGTATTTCATCTCTGACTTCTAACCTGTCACCTACTCTATAAAATGGGGTCCAACAAGTAGGGCACTTGTGTTTTTCAACAGTGAGGTAGGGCTTATCATAAAAATTAATTGGGTAGATAATGGAAAGAGAGATATTCTCCAGGAAACTGAGCCCACTGGCGCTTTGCAACTACATACAGCCTCAGTCACGCTGGTAGCAAGGGAGGGGTAGACATAATATTTGTCTTAGTCTGGTAACCTAGATTCTGAATTTTGGTGTGAATATTTTGTTCCTCATGCCAGTGAGCCAACAGAGTTAGGAACCAGCTTTTCCCAAATAAGCACGTCCTCTTTACTGCTTTCCAATCTCCAAATGCAGGGAAACGCCTTGATGAGAAAATGCAAAAGCAGAAAGTCACTCTGAGGAGGTATCTCGGCTGCCAAATGTTTATCTCAAGCACATGTTCCCTGAACCTGGGCTTGGCTCCAGAGCAGAAGAGCTCACAATGGAAACAGTGATGGCTGTTTGCTCAGGCAGCCAAGAGAATGCAAAGCACATTGAAACTCGGCAGTGTCTCCTCAGGAGGGATACGGTGGGCTTCTGGGTGGCGAGACAAGCCTGACAACAGAGCAGGGCCACAGAGTTGTTCTAGCATCTGTCTGCAGCTCAACAACCAGACCTTTCTGTACAACCTCAGAAAATCATACTGCGGGCAACCCGGGCTTTGGCCAACAATAGACGCACCCTCAATCTAGTTTGCTCCGGTTGTCATTGAATAAGATTCTGTTCATTGAGAGAAAGAGAAGGGCTTTTCTCAAAGTACATTCCACCCCCACCCCAAAGAGTTCATCAACTTTTTATTACCGCCACGTGTGGACTCTGTTGACCTCCAGTGAGAGCCTTTCCAGCATTTCCAGGTTGCGCAGGCTCCTCATTCATCCAGTTCCACATGAACGTCCCTTCAACCTCCCATCTGCACCTGCCGGCCTCACGGGGATGGAGTGTTAGGACAATGCAGCCCGGCTCCTGACCACAGTGCTCACTGGCCTGTGCTGACTGGCAGAGGGCACAGGCATGCTCTTTTCCTCTTTTCTCTTGTGAAAGGTGAGGGCCAACCTGGGCCTGTGTTTCACTGGTACACTGTGGAGGATTTCTGTCCTCACAAGGATGACACACAACTGTGGTGAAAACCCGAATATTTTCAGGAGTTGGAAACTTCATGCAAGCAGAGTGAACTGAAGTATATTCCTTACCCAGTGAGGAGCCATTATTTTGTTTCAGCTGATTGTTGTCAGATCTTCAGAATTTTTTCAGAAGCAGCAAGAAAATTGGATCTCTACATATACGTCTAAAGGCCACATACATACAGACACTCATCTTCCATTGGAAACCTCTGGTCTAGCAGAAAAAAGGATGGATTTTGGCTTTAGACCTGAGCCTGAATCACAGCTCCAGCATGTACTGGTTGTGTGGCCTTGGCTAGGTAAATACATTCCCATCCTCACCTTTGCAGTGAGGCAGCACCACCCCCTTCATCATGAGGTTGTGGGGATGAGTAAGATAATATGCCACATGGGGGTAGTCAGGGGCTACCTGCTCCATGTACGGTACCTGGCACATAGGAAACACCAGCCTTGCTCTGCCCCTGCAGCCCAGGAGTGACTTTCCAATTTCCTGGTCCCAGTCTCCACAGCTTTGGCTCATAAGCCTAACAGATCATCCTCAGGAGAAGCCCGCTAGGCAAACATTTGTGGAGCCTCTCGTAGGCATTTGAACGTTTGCCTGCCACCCCCTCGCACATCTGGAAGCAACAGCCTGTCTCTAACAGCTAAGAAGGCGAGGAAGCAAAGCTGTTGATCTGGGTGTATATATAGATCCTCCTACTTAACTCTGGCTTTTCCTCAGTTATACCAACCACCAGAATTGTTTTGTTTTCCTTGAGGAAATAAAGATGAAAAGGGGACCCAATGATGCTTTTTAAAGAGTTTCAACAGTTTAACGGAGCAGATCTTTGAGAGTAAGAATATTTATATTACCTCCTTCCAAATTCTCCTGGAAGGAGATCCTCAGGCCATCTTTGAAACAGGTGCCCTGGTGCCTCATGCGCTCCTCATGGGCCCTGTGTGTTGGGGTCACTGCTGCAAAATGAAGAGGTGTCACCACTCAACAAGCAGGCTCTCATCTCCAGGTTAACCGGTCCCATGCCAGGCAATGTGCTGTGCACCGGAGGTGCAAGGGTAGGGGTTTTTTTCTGATGGATAGGGCGGTGAGATGGCACAGTGTGAGGATGGCTAGGAGATAGGTGTAAGCACAGGAAGATTTCACAGGCCCAGGTACATCTGAGCAGGGAGGGTGCCGGGAAGGAAGAAGAGTTTAGCAAGGCGAGAGATATGGTGATGCCTGTGAGAAAAGCTTAAAAAGAGAAGGGTATTTGAGATAGAGAAATACCCCATGCAAAGGCTGTTGGTAAGAGCACTGTGTTGCTGGGCCTGCAGAGTATAGGAGGGGCAGAGAAACACCAGGGCATGTGGAGGAGGACATTGCATGTCCTTAGGAGAAAATGGTTTTGCAGTGCTATTCACAATAGCTGGGGGATGGAAGCAGCCCTAAGTGCCTGCCAGTGGGTGGTTAGATCAAGAAGATGTGGTCTGCCTCTTCTGTTCCCCGCTCTGTCTGTGGTGAACTTCTCACTCCCCGCACCTCTGGCCTGCACCCCAGCTCTTGTATGCATAAGTAAATAAATCTTAAAAGAAAAAAGAAAGAAAGAAACTCAGGAGTGAGCATGACTGATCAGCCAAAGAAAAACCTCTTAGGAGCTTGAAGGAGGGAGTGAAGTGCAGGCTATATTAAGAGAAAGAGGAGCAGGGAAAGTAAGAACTAAAAACCTTGTCCTTCCCATTAGGAGACAAGTGTCTTTCTGGTAACTGAGCAAACAGGGTCTGAAGTAGAAGCTGGCCTCTCCCGGGCCAAAGAGGGAAGGGGAAGTCAGAAATGGAGACAACCCATGTGGTCTTCTTTGAGAAGGACCCCATCTCTGCTCTCACTGAATTAACTTAAAAATTGATGAAGTATTTAAAAAGTAACAGTAAAAGGAATAAACATACAATTAACTGTAAACATTTTGCTATATTTGCCTCAGGTTTTTATTTCCTGGAGAAATAAGACACAGTTGTGTTTGAAACCCACACTGACGAGCCCCTGGTCACATCCCCCACCCTCCACTAGGTAAACCACCATCCTAATTTGATGTGTCATTCCCTGGCATGGTTTCTACATTATTACATTAGGTTGTGTCTGTAAGCGATATATAGACTTGCTCTACATTTTTTAAACTTTAATAGGAATGATACCTTGCTGAATCTATTTTGGCATCTGGCACTGTTTTGGAGATTCATTTATGTTGACACATACTCTAGTGTGTGCATTTTAACTACTGTATAGTATTCTTTTGTGTGCTATACAACGTATTATCTCTCCATTCTCTGTTAATGGACCCTTAGTTGATTTCTAATTTTCATTTACACAAACACAACTGCAGAAATTATTCTATATATGTTTCTTGTACAGGGGTGGGGATACTTCTGAAATAGATTATTACCAACAGGTAGAATTCGCTAGGTCATGGAAAATATGCATCCTCAACATCACTAGATATTGTCAGATTGATTTATACTGCAGCAGTACCAGTTTACATTCACAGCAACAGTTTATGAGAATTATAGATGCTTTGTATCCTACCATTTTTTATGTTGAAACTTTGTGATCAGTGTGAAAAGATGTCCCATAGTTAACCTCCCTTTGCATTTTCACAGGTCCACCAACCACACAGTGTAGACTGTACACTGCACAACCCTAGGGCCACTGTTAATACTGTAGGCTTTGTGAAAATCTCTGTCGTGTCTGTGAAGGCACACTCTGGAGCTGGTGCAGTGTAAAACATATAGTGGTCTTCAGAGAAGGTAAGGAGTTTTTTGTTATCTTGTTTTTTCCTGTGTTGTCTTGAACTGGGTGTATATATAGATCCTCCTACTTAACTCTGGCTTTTCCTCAGTTATACCAACCACCAGAATTGTTTTGTTTTCCTTGAGGAAATAAAGGTGAAAAGGGGACCCAATGATGCTTTTTAAAGAGTTTCAACAGCTTAACGGAGCAGATCTTTGAGAGTAAGAATATTTATATTACCTCCTTCCAAATTCTCCTGGAAGGAGATCCTCAGGCCATCTTTGAAACAGGAAGAGTTCATTAGTCTAAATATTCTTTTTTTGTGTCTAGAAGAACAGGGGTGTAAGCTAGAGGTGTGGGGGGTGAGCGGACTCACCAGAGACAGAGTGGGGTGCAGATCAGGCAGATTGACTGAAATACACTGCTGAGGGGAGCAGGAGAGGTCTGCTGTGAGGGCGAGTCAGGAGAGGTCTGCTGTGCCATGTGGGTAGCTCCCTGGCCAGGGATTGAATTCAAGCCATAGTGGTAACAGCACTGAGTCTTAACCCCTAGGCCACCAAGGAAGCCCAGTCTAAATATTCTTGATTTATATTCTTGATTTGTTGCGAGGTCTGTCTTCTAAGAACTTCCTCCCTGACCACAAAGTCACAGATTACAGAATCATGGATTAACTAGTTTGTCATTTCCCCTTTCATTTCCGTGACATCACTATCATATGTTAAACGTGTGGTTATTTCTCAGTTTCTGTTGTGTTCTCTGGCCCGTCTGTCTCTATGCCCTCTGACACAGACTTAATTACTGCTAGAACAAGTCTCCCCAGCTAGTTTTTCTCAATACTTCTTGGTTATTCTTGGCCTTTTGCTCTTTTTGATGACTTTTAGCATTGACTATCAGATTTCACAAAAACGAAAAAACCTGATTGGGATTTTTATTAGAATTGCAATGCCCTCAATAATCTGGGGACAGTATGCATCTTCATACTACTAGGTTTCTCATCCTTGACTGGTATATTATCTTTTTTCTAGGTTTTTTATGCCTTTCAGTCATCTTGTATCATTTTCTCCATGAAGGTCTTACATATCTTGTAGTATATTATTGTACACACTTGTGGATTTTGCACCTTTTAAATTTTTTTTTAAGATTTTGCTATTGAGGGGAGCTTTTTTCCTGTGATAGTCTCTAACTGCTTACAACTGCTACATAGAAACATTGTCACTATTTGTTACTGATTGGGCATGGCATCCAGCAACCCTGAGGAACTTTCTTATTCTCATGTTTATAGATCTCTTGGATATTTCTGTGTAAACTGTCGTTATCTACGTAACTGTACATTAAGCCTTCCATTCACATTTTCTTTTAAAGATTTATTTATTTATGCATACAAGAACTGGGGTACAGGCCAGAGGCGTGGGGGGTGGGAGGATCCACCAGAGACAGAGTGGGGAACAGAACAGGCAGATTGACTGAAATACACTGCTGAGGGGAGCAGAGGGAGAGTCAGAAGAAGTCTGCTGTGCCATGTGGGTAGCTCCCTGGCCAGGGATCAAACTCATGCTGCAGTGGCTGCGGTCAGCTTCATAGGTTGCATCTTAACCCCTTGCGCCACCAGGGAGGCCCCCATTCACATTTTATGCTCCTCATGTTCTTCTCTTCTTGTGTTGGTTTTATGACATAATGGTGAGCAGTGACACCAGACTTTTATTCAGCCTTGTTGCAATATAATTCATATACCCTGAAGTCTATGCTTCATACTTCCCTTTTTAGTTCGTTTTTAATAGAATTGCCACTATCAAAATTTTTCACAGTACCATTTACATCTGTTAACGGGTTCATCATCTTCCTGCTGATGGGTCATGCCACTTCTGACATAGTCTACACACAGACTGTTTTGGGGTTCAGTGCATTAATTTATTTGTCCCAATGTCAGTACCACCATGCCCTATTTTCTGTGGCATTATATAATAATGCACATATTTGCTGTACAATTCTTATGAATTCCCTTTATCAAATTAAGGAGGGGACCTTCTCTAATTTAAGAGGTTTTTTAAAAATCATGAATGGGCTTTGAGTTGTTTCAGTTTTTACTTCACCTGTGTCTATAATTTTTTGAGACTCCCAAAGTCTCAAAATGAATGGGTAATTTTTCCCTTTTCTGGTCTCTGTAAGTTTAAGAGTTAAGGGTGCTTTATAAAGGATGGGAGTAGGGGGTGACGAGGTGCTGACTTTTGAAATCTTCACTCAGATGCTCCATTTTAAAGGCAAGATTGACAAATCTTGTATTGATTGCTATTACAAATAAAGCTGCTTTCTTAAGGTTTTTATAGATAACATCTCTTCTCCTCTGTCCCATACTTTCTACTATAGCACTGACATTTTGGTATTATTTGCTTATGTGGTAGTTTACCGGCAGACCATAAACTTCTGAAGGATGGGGTACTGCTTTTTTCACCTCTGTGCCCTGGTGTCCAGCAGGGTGCGAGGCCTGCTGGGAAACACATGGAATGACACTGCCAACTGTGTCTGTCTTCTGATATCGCAAGTTTGGTGTCTCGGTGCTGCAGTCGTTAGCAGTATGGGTGTGGGGAATACACAATTTTATGAGGATTTTTTGGAGATTAATTGTAACAACACACATATATATGTATCATCTGATATTCAGCGAGTGCTCAACGTTCACTATAAATTACTTTCAAAAAACAAGGTGGCTTTACTAACACTTGCCTTCAGATTTTCTTTCCTCATTCTCTGGTGCATTTTCAGGTTTGTAGTGGTGAAAGAGTAACAGCTCAGATTGCCTTTGGAAATCTATCTCCCTTCCATGCCTGTATAATCCTGTTTTATTCATGTTGTTAAAGGGGGTTCACCACATTCATTTCCACCAGTCGCTGTCCCCAACCAGTGTTGTTTGGTAATTCATGAGAGGCCAGAGCCCTTTGAGGAACTTCTGAAGTTGGTGTCAGGAAAAATGCTTTCTTCAAATTGAGTTGCTGAGCTAACAGGGCCATATTTGGCATCAGCAGCACCCCGAAGGGTGCAGGTACACAGGGAAGGCTGATGTACACAGCAATTGTTACAGCAGTGTACAATGTACGTAAGAGTGAAAGATTGCAAGCCACCGAGATGCTTTTAATAGGGGACTTGGAAAGTAATAACACTGTAACTGCACGGTGCAATACTATTTGCCATAAAAATGAATAAAAAGGGACTATGAACTAATAGAAAAAAGGTCACCAGGATACAGTGCTAAATGAAGCAATATACATAGGTATACATTTTCTTTTGTATAAGAAAAAGAAAAGGATATATATTCATATTTAATTATTCTTCCAAAGTATGAAAAAGAAATATGTCAGTAGGAGTCATTTTCCATAAAGAAGAAGGTTAGGGTGGTCAGAAAAGAGTGGTGGGAGCAGGATTTCTCCATGTAAACCTTGTTATATGTCTTAATACCCACACCATGTGAATCTGTTAATCATTAAAATAAAATCCCTCCTTATGACACAGAGAGCAGCTTCCTGTCCTGAGCTGTGCTGCCATGGGCTCCTCAGGCCTTCTCTGCAGCCCATTTAAATGCAGGTGAATAAAGGACATGGTCACACGGCAATGCCTTTATAAGAGGAAGTTTTATTGTTAATTATTTACCTTAATAGTTTCAGAAAGAACAGATTAGCTCAGTCCAACATGATTGGCAGTTGGCAAAATCTAGTGAAGCAAGTATTCTGATTGCTAAGGATTTAATTTGGATGCTTTTAATACTTAGCCATCTAACACTTCAAACATAATCCAGGTTAAATGTATCATCTCCCTCCCTTTCACTTTTATAACCCACCTACCTCACTTCAATATGGAAATATCTTCATTAAATATGATTCCCAGAGGAACAAGTTCCCTGGAGAGTGTAGCCATGAGGACAGTGCACAAAAAGAAAAACTCAAAATAAAACTCTGTATGATAATTTACTAGTCTAAGGAAACAAAACCTTCCAATATATTAAGAAATAAATCCAGTTACAAATGCACTAAAAGGTCTATGTGAAGAGGTTCTGGTATAATAACTGAAAACGGCCGGCTATTTACAAGATACACAAGCAGGAACGGTGCACCTAGCCCAGCACTGGCCCTCAGAAGCCAAAAGTGTTCTCTCCACTGTAGGCCACATACAAGAATCCATCTTCATCTTTTTCCTTCTCGTAAAGCTGTCCCATGGTTAGGCTTGAAAGAGAAAAACAAAAAACAATGAGTTGGGGTTCGGTGACTGAACCCAGGTGTCGGGAGAAAGGTGACTTGAGAATAAGGACTGTGACTCTACCACAGGTTTGGTGGCAGGGAGTGGAAATGATACAGCTCCCAGGAGCAGCTGTGTGCCCACCATCCTGCTTTAAATAAGGGAGACGGAGTCATGAAAATATTAAGATAAATTAGTCCCTGGGAATCAGCAGACGAGACTAGAACCAAGTCTCCATCCCCGTGCCCCAAGACAAGGTCTGGTCACCTCCAAAGGAAGCACTTCTTCAGCCCAGCTCCCGCTCCTCGAGTGGGCCGGTCAGTGCTTGGCTGCTTTCTGAATGCCTGGGCACCAGATCAAAAACGAAACAAAACAAAGAGCCTGAGAAATCCATCCCGGTGTGGGTGGAGTACTCAGTACTAAGGAAGCGTAAATGAGGCTCCTCTTATCTGAAGAATTAGAATTTGCACCTCTCAGTAGGTTAAGTACAAGCGAGTTCACCATTGTGGAAGCCCCTGTGACCCAGGAGTGCGTCCACATCATCAGAAAGAAGGTATTTTCCTCACACGTAATGCAAAAGCAGACTGTATCCGGGATGCAAAGGAGTCCTGCCCAACCTTCCTAAGAACCCTCCCAAAATAGCTACTGCTCAAACTAGTGTGTGGGCAGGAAGCTGGCTTTCCTGAGCTGGGAAACATATGGCCGTGGGGGAGACCTAATGGAGCTGTCTGCCATGGACCTGAGCTGTTTGTGTCAGCTCCTTACTGTGAGAGTAAGACTAGCAGCACCTCGACGCCCAGGCGCACCCTGGCCACGTGGCTGTATTCCTCTTCAGAGGGGAGCAGGAGACACAGGCGTGTGCTCAACATCAGTGACTGTTAGAGCTGGGGCCAGCCAGAGCCAGCAGTGATGGGCTGAGAGCCGTCTCGGACATCGGAGGTCACTAGTCCCAACAGGTGACAACACATGCTGAAAAGCAGGACTCGGTAACACAAGGATGGATGGGTAAAGAGGGGTCCAGGGCCTCAGGCTGGTGGAACAATGAGTGCCTTTGCTCCCGGCAGGTTGTGTGGGACTGCCACATACACAGGATACAGACCACATCGCTAAGGGGAGATTTTTCCTTCCTCTTTTTCCTACCTCATGTCTGAGCTTAGCCTGATTGGCTGTGTGGGTAGATAAGAATTACTATGCCACAACGTGGGGGTGGATGGGAATGAACAACAAACGGCCTGCCATCAGCATCTGACACAATAAACGGTGCTCTCGGTGACGATCTCTTAACTGGGAATTTGAAACTTAAGGACTCCCTGGATCTGCACTGTCCACAAGAAGTTTCTGCTATGTCCGAAAAATCCTGTGTTTCTCCTGCCCAGTACGGTAGCTGCAAGCTACATTCTGCACATAAATTGTGGTTCATCTGGGTTGGGATGAGCTATAAAACGAACACAGTATTTCCAATACCATATAAAAACAAACCTCAATTCTGATTTTATGTTGAAATGACATTTTGCATATATTGGATAACATATTATTAAAATCAATTCTACCTGGTTTCTGCTACTAGAAAATTTAAAATTACTGGTATGGCTCACATGCCACTACACTGACAGCAATGCCCCAGAACATGTGAGAGGACTTCGGGGCCAGTCCTCTACTGGCCTACTCATTAGACCCCCTAAGAGATGAGTCCCAACCCTAGCTGCACATCAGAAATGATGGAGAACTTTAGAAACATCTCCATGCCCAAGTCCTACTACCTCAGACCAATTAGAGTCTTTGGAGGTAAGACCAGGCCTTAGTATGTTTAAAAATGTTCAAGATGATGCCGTGTGCAGCCAGCATGAGAAACAGCCCCAGTGCCAGAAGGAGAGTCATCTTTTTGGGAAGAGATGCTCATTAAGAGGCATGTGATGACAAAGTAGTAAGACGGAACCAGGAAGTACAGTGAGGAGGCAGCAAGGAGGAAGCGCTGAGTCTATATGAAGACTTTTGTCTTGGTGGCTGGGAAATACCCTAGGAAATCTCTAAGGTTACAAGGTTAAATGAAGCCATGAAAAGGTTAAGATAAATTAGGCCTCGGGGCATCAGCAAAGAAGACTAGAATGGACTCTTCATCCTCATCTTACAGGGAAATTAACAACAGCTACTGCCACAGGCTGCCGAATGGAGCTTTTAGCGCCCAGCAATGAGCACTGTAGGGTTTCTGTTTCCTTGCCCAAGAGTTAGCCTGAGTCTAAGGACACAGTGCTGCTGCCAGTTAAACAGTTTCCATACAAGGTTGTGTGACAGAAAAGGAGTAGAGTAACAGGACCCTAAGTCATTAGGCCCCATTTGTTGTCAAATTCCAGGATCTGAAGGAGAGAGAGCTCAAAGAGCTGGTGACCCAAGAAGCTGGCAGCGATGGCTGCACTTGGGAACTTCTTAGAATGTCCAGCCCCACCTTGACCTACTGAATCCAAACAGGCGCTTTATGGAGGTGTAGGTGTCCTCTACGCATGTTTGAATGTGTGCGAGGGAAGCCCCTCAGCGGAAGGCACAAGGATGCTGACCTTGGGTCATTAGAACACAACTTGCTGTGTGTTCACTAGGAGGCGGCACAGTTAAATGGTGAGAATGCCTCCTGGCTTTGTGACTTCTGACAAATTACTTAACCTCTTTGGACTTCACTCTTATCATCAACTATGGATTACGATGGTAGCTGCCTCAAAATTGTTAGGATAAAAAGAATTGACAGGTAATGCACTTAGAACAGTGTTAGACACCGTTTGCTTTTATAATTAAGATTTTTATGATCAGCCACTGTAACTTCTATGGCACTGGTTCAACGAATTGATTCAACTTTTAAAAGACAATAGAAAGTAAAGGCAGAAAGGCAGGAAAGCCACTACTTATGGATCCTCACTCTGAGTCTCAGAATCTGCCTGAGCAGTGGTTCCTGTGGTCGTTATTCATCGCAGGTGGTGTACAGAGTCTCGGGTGCACCACTGGTGTCTACAGACCTCCTCACGTATTTCTAACTCAGCAGCCAGGTTTAGAATTGTTGCACTCGGGCTTCTAACTGGCAAGCAACAGAGCAGAACTTAGTCTGACGGAACCAAACCTAACATAGGGGCTGAGGGCAGCTGCCTCTGATTCTAAGAAGTTCCTAGGTGCAGCCATTGGATAACGTATTATTAAAATCAATTCTACCTGTTTTCTGCTACTAGAAAATTTAAAATTACTTGTATGGCTCACATGCCACTACACTGACAGCAATGCCCCGGAACATGTGAGAGGACTTGGGGGCCAGTCCTGTACGGGTCTACTCCTTAGACCAGTAGTGCAGCTCTTAGAGTTCACTCTCCTTCAGATCCTGGAATTTGACAACAAATGGGGCCTAATGACTTAGGGTCCTGTCACTCTACTCCTTTTCTGTCACACAACCTTGTGTGGAAACTATTTAACTGGCAGCAGCGCTGTGTCCTTACACTCAGGCTAACTCTTGAGCAAGGAAACAGAAACCTGACAATGCTCATTGGCTGGGCTCTAAAAGCTCCATTCAGCAGCCTGTGAGCAAACACCTGATTTCAAGCTTCCCTGGACATAGGACTGAACACTGGCACATCAACTCGATATGATTAGAAAACAGCATTTTTTCTAGAAGGATCATCCAACTATACACATAGAACCAGAATAGTTGGCCTGGAGTCAGAAGATCTGGACCATAAATGCTAACAAGTATTTTTTCTTAATTCAGATTCAAACAAGAGGCAAGAGGAAGTGCAGAGATGCGAAGTGTGACCCAAGTCAGCCAGCAGCTATGGCTGTGGGCTGCTCAGTTTAGGACACATCCCATAAGCCTGAGAAAATGAGCTTTCCTCTTAGTATTCCCAGAGGCCCAAGCCACTCAGCACCGGTAAGCCACTGCTGGCACACCTGATGCAGCTCTAGCAAGAGCATCACGTGAAGCTGCACAGGCTTGCGGGATGGCCTGAGACAAAGCCAAAGCCCCTACCGAAGTCAGTGTCTGCAGAAGACACCAGGAGTGGCCTCCTGTCCTAACAGTGACAGCACTGCTGTGACTCAAGCACTGCACGCCTCCAAGAACCAGGCTGCTGAACGCGGGGCCATGGCACTTCCCAGTGCTTCTGCTGACGAGGAAAGACATTGGAAAAACCGGTAGGAGACTTAATTGGAGTGAAATGACTTAAACTGCCCCTAAAAACCTGTCTCGCACTCCTCCATTCAGAGCCAGACAAAACCACTTCTCCAGCAAAGAGGATATCCAAAAATAAAAGCAGCTTTCAGAAGGAGCCACGTGCCGGGATGGCCATGCTGCTGAACACAACGTTAGTTTTAAGCTACTCAACAGCCTGTGAATCTGGGGAGGCTGGCCTAGAAGTGTGTGGGTGCCCAATCCATGGAGAACCTCCCCTTGACCAACCACTGAGGTCAGGTCACCGAGGCTGTGGCATCCCGCTGACTCATGAATTAGCTGGTCGAATGAGCACACCTGGCCACCCATCTGCTGGGCATCGCGTGCTTCAGGGGATCTTTAGGTCCCCAGGACCTGGACTGATCTCTTTTCCAGCAGGCGGGGGGGGGGCCCACTGAGGGGGGTGCCTGGTGTTGTTGAGGTGGAGGGCAATGGCCAGTGCTGTGGATCCTGGAAAGGCTCAAAATGCAAGTTAAGATGAATTTAAAGTCTCCCCAAGACTCTAAAAAATAGAAATGTCTGCTTGTTCCTTTTATCATTTTTTTTCCTGCTCTAAATACTACTGCACAGCTGAAATAAAACCCTGTTCTTAAAGAGGTATTACCCAGAAATAATAAGGTATTACCCAGAAATAAAAGTGCTTAATTTAAGCATGTTTCTAAATAATGGATGAGTGGGCCTTAAGACACCACAGCTTTCTTTAACTTAAGTACCTCTTTTAAGATTCAGAAGCAACTAAACACCATCTGAAACAGCACAGGCTTCCTAGTGCAACACACCCAAATTATAATCTCTTGCATACATGTCATTTAATAACATACTCATATACGTCTATAGTAATAGGGGATTAACAAGATTTGTGTGTTTCTGAACAAAGGCCAAAAGGCAGGCACCATGGCAGGTCTCTGATGCCATAAACAGGAAGCTTGTACACTGATGTTCTTTCTCAGGTTCTGTCTGCACCAGTTTCCCTTTCCATTTTGGGCTATTTCTTGATGCAGGAATCCAGGCAGAGAATTCAGCTTCCCAGTGCTAAATGGGAAAGGCCAGCTGAGCTACATGTGCCCTGTTTTTAAAAAAAACAGACTCAGCAAGAATTTAGGAAGTAAAACTCTTAGGGACTTGCCTTTGTCTCTGTTTCTAGAATAATCAAATATTTAAAACTGAATAATGGTGACATGTCACAGGTTTTGGACACCCTCCTGAACACACCTCCGAGGCGGGAACACTGAAATTACTTCTGTTCCGTCTCAGCCTGCAGATCTGTCTCGGGAGGGACAGGGCTCCTGCACACAGAGGCTAATTCTTTCTCAATTCTGACATTCCTTCCACTGTGAAGGCTACAAGCACTGGCTAAAGTGCTAACGGGCATCCCATACTTTCCGAGGATGCTGGAAAGACTGAGGGAGAAAAAAACAAAAAGAAAAACAAAAGACTGAGGAAGAGGCTGCAAGACTGCCTTGGGTTAGAGATGGTGAAGCTGAGACTCTCATAGCTTGAGGAAGGAAACCTTGTGGTTATTTTGTTTGTGCTGCTGTGGGGCGATCAGCATTTGCATAAATCTGACATCTCGTGCCTCTTTTATTTATAAACAAATGTGCTTTTAAGATTAAACCCCCAAAACTAACAAAGGACTACTTCACTGAGAGTGCGGCAAGATGTCATTAACTGAGGCCAACAACACTGAGGGCCTGGGCAGAGAAGCCCTGGTTAGTGACTTTTTAAAATCCTGACTTGCCTCACTGGTGTAATCTGCTTTCAGGGACATTCTCACCAGGATGAAAAGATAAACAGGTCTTGGAAAGTAAATGACCCTGAAGCAGCCTCTGCTGCCCTAAGAATCACTTTTCAATTTCTATCTCAGGGATAACGGGGGGAGGGGGAAGTTGCTGAAATCTGCAACCACTGTAATTGCTAGATAATGTGTGGCCATGAGAATAATCTTTTTTTTAAAGTTATATTTAAAAGAGCAGGTTTATTAGAAAAGGGACAGAAGAGTAAAAGACACTTGGGTAGACACAAGCAGGCAGAAAGAGCTGCCCCAAAAGGGACAGGTTTGCTGAGAGAGGCCTGCATGGTTGTAGGTGGGTGACCTTGAGGAGAGCTGCCTCTGCTGAGGGGGGTCAGTGAAGAGAAGCCCTGGCATGGTACAGCTTATGGGCAGGCAGGAAGGCTGCTGCCCTACAGAGGGAGAGACCTAGTGAAAAGAAGCACCTACATAGTCACAGGTGGGCAGAAGGACTGCTTCAGAATTAACCTGATGTCTCCAGAAGTCTTCCTCATTTCCTTCAAGCATCAATGATTAGAATAAACTCAATGCCATAGGTCCTAATCATCTTAGTCATCTACTTCCCCCCATTAATAAGCGACTTCCAGGGGTCTCCCTGGTGGCGCAAGGGGTTAAGCACAGCATTGTAACGAGTTTGATACCTGTGGCACAACAGACCTCTCCTGTCTCGCCCAGTGTTCCCCTCAGCAGTGTCTTTCAGTCACTCTGCCTGTTCTGTTTCCCACTGTCTCTGGTGAATCCTCTCACCCCCCCCCCACATCTCTGGCCTGTACCCCCATTCTTATATGCATAAATAAATAGTTTAAAAAAAAAAAAAAAAAAGAATGGACTTCCAGGAAGGAGGCCACACAACAGCTCAACTCCACAGAAGAGGCAGGGGTGTGAATGATTTACTTCTCCCAATGTCTTAAGGGAAGGGGATTTTGCCCTGGGCTTTCTCCCCTGGTGAAGAGTGCCAACAGCCAACACACTGCCCAGAGGACTGAAAGGCAGCCTGGAAGAGCCCAACAGGGTGACAAACTCACCTCTGGCAAAACCAATGCTTAAAGAATTGGTGTAGCACATCAATGATGCCAGGTGGGCAGGCAGAGCCTGTCTGCTCAGGTAGGACATTGGCTTTAGGGAACAACCTGTCTTTTCTCCCCTATCTCGCTTCTCTGCCAACCATCACAAATGGAAATGGTGGACACCGGGAAAGAGGAAATTAGATTAAAAAAACAGCCAGCGCAGCCTACCTTTTGTAGGCATAACACTAGAATCTGGCTTAGGCCTCTTGTGGAGAGGTCAAGGAATTTTCAAAAGGAATATATTTTTGGCCACATTGAGCCAGTTCCCAGGGCTTCTCCCAGTTACTTTTGGAATTAACAAATGAAATTTAGTTTGGGTCACCAAGATGAGATGCAGCCAGGAACTCATACTCAGGGGATGCAGGGCCAGTTTTGGCCCAGGGCCTAGAAGTACTCAATCAATAACGGGAAAGGACTGACCAAGGATTTAGACTGAGTCAGTCCATTTTCCTCTTCCCACAGGGAACTAAAGCTAAACTGTCAACTACACAGAAGAAGGCAATTTTAGTATCCCCGCCAAGATTCAGGCCCTACGTTATCCCAAAGATTGCATCCGGGCAGCACAACTAGACAAGAGGGGCAACTACTCTGACATTCAGATCAGCTAGCATCCAGGGAGGTAAAGCCTGTAAAGAGACCTTGGCTCCCTTCATTGGACAGCAGCCATTTTAGTGTACTTGAGGATCAGGCAGCTACAGACTCTCCCAGTGGCACAGAGCTAAGTTTGGAGAGTGAGCAAGAGGATGATTAACTGAAGCTAAGCCTCAGCAGGGTCCACAAGCTCCTCACAGAGAATGACAGCCTTATTTCACGGATCATTTGGAAAAAAATCTCATTTCAGGCTTCAATTCTACTCATGGATTTGAAAGGATTCTTGGGGATCTGAGACTAGATTTTTATATATTTTTTAAGTCCAGGCCTTGTTCTATTTTCATAACCCAAAGTATACTTTCTTATTTCCCGGAGCTCCTGATGGGAGGGAGCATATAACCCAGACTTCTAGTCAGAACCTCTAAGAATTTCAGATGGCCAATACTAGTAAACACCTCTCACCTGGACTGTGGGACTGTCTTATCCACAAACAGGAAGATTGCCTTTTCAGAAGGAAGCTGGATCCTTTTCCTGATGATCCACATGAACTGAGCCACAGTGATGTCAGATGGAACCAGATACTTCCGTTTGTCAATGTCGACAATCTGACTGCCTGAGACTTTTTCCACAATCACCTGGCAAAGCAAAGAGAGTTCAAGACTGGATTTCTCAGGTGAGGCTCTGGCCTGGCATTGTCAGGGAGCTGATATACAGTGTGTGGGCAAGGAAGTGGGTGGGAAACTGCATAACGGGAAAAAATGTACACCACGTTTAATAAATCACAAACTCTGGAGATTAAGAATTGATATTAACGTGTTATAGAGAAATGGTACTTTCCTATGGTTGGTCACTAGGTTTCTTATTCCCAATGTCAGCATGCATAAGAGAAACACAGCCAGCCAGTACTACAAAGCTTTTCAACATTTTGTCTGGGCAGACCCAAGAATATTCAGGTGAGGATTTCAACTACAGCCTGTTACTCTGGGGCTCAGAATGGCTCTGCCTTCACACTACGGGAGTATGAAGATCCACAGGAACACAGGAGACAAGAATTATGGCCAAATGGGAACGACCGGCAATTCCAGTCAAGAATGAAGCTCTTCATTTGGCCTGTTGCTTCTCTCTGAAATAGTTTTCAAATTTATCCTTCCTGCTCCTTCCCTAAAGGAATTGTTCACAAGCAAAGAGCTACATTAACAGGACCAGCTGTTCTTTAAAAATGAATAAGGATTTCAGAAACTATCTTCCCTACTTAGGAAGAAATACTAATTATTGTAATTATTATAGATTAAGGGGAAAACAACGAAGAAGGGGTTTTTAGCAGTTTCTGGTTTTCTTCTGGTCAGGAAACGACAGGGTAAGTGTGAGGAAAGGGAGTGAGTTAGAAGTCAGGCAGCGATGGAGGCTCCCAAGTTAAAGATTAATGACCACAACTAAAGTGCCACTTGCAAGACCACGGTGACAGTCTCCCTCCAGTACTGTTCCCTAAAGTGGCAGTGACCTGTTGCCCTGTCCTAGAACATCGTTCCTTACATAATTGGCGAGGGAGCCCAGAGGCTGCAGACAGCTCGCTGGCCTAGATCAGATTCAGCACTGAGGCACCCTGAACAGCACCAGCTCCAGGAGCCTCCCACCGCCGGGCCCCTGGCGGGCCCCCACCCAGTCTGGCCCGTCTGCTACTATAACTGGGTCTGGAGCCTCAACCTGTCAACTGTTGAATGGCCTGGGCCCTATCACGGGTCCTTGAAGACTGGGGTGACAGGGAGGTGAGGGGGCGGGGAGTCCGAACACTTACCGGAACCCGGTCAGGATACTTGGCCCGAATCTTGGCGGATTCCACGCATCTGTGTTCTGCGGGAGAAGCGCCCCGGGATGACGGCAGCCCCAGCCCCAGCCCCCGGCAGGGCCCCGGCCCCGGCCCTCCTCCCCCCGCGACCTGCGCACGACCCGGGCCCTCGCTCGGGCGTCCCGCCGGCCGCGGCCCTGCGTCCCCCCGCTCCCGGCAAGGCCCGCGGAGGGCGGCGCAGGGTCCCGGGGCGGCCGCCCGGGTGCCGGGGCCTCGGTGACCCGAGCCCAGAACGGCCTCCGCCCCGCCCGGCCCGGCCCAGGGCGGCCCGAGTGGGGGAGGGGCCCCCCGCGCCCGGCTCCCCCGGCCCGGCCCGAAGCCGAGCGCCTACCCAGCGAGTGGTCCTCCTTGAACATCCACTTCATGGCGGCGGCGGGGAAGGGAGGCAGCCGGCTCTCGGAGCCGCGAGTTCAGCTCACCAACCACAACAACAACGACGGCAGCGGCGGCAGCGACGGAGACTACACGGCAGGCGGGACTTCCGGCTGCCGGAGCCTAGCAACCGGCGGGGCGGGGCTTCCGGTGCTCTGGCCCGACGCCGTGCGAAGGGGCGGGGCCGTACGCTCGGGGGCGGGGTCGCGGAAAGCGTCGCGAGGGGCTGCCGGGCGAGGGGAGATGACGGCGTGGGCGTCTGGGGCCTCTGGGAGGGACTTTGGTGGTCGCGGCGGAGAAGTCGCGGAGGTGGTGACGCTGCGAGGTCTAGCTGGACGGGAAGGGAGCCGGAGGGGCCTGGCTAGGGCTCGCAGAGGTGTTCTGGGGCGTTGGTGACGGGAGTTGGGGAAGTTTGAGGAAGGGAAGACGGGGCTCTGCGGTTGATGATGGCAGAGGGTTTGTTTAGGGCACGGATAGCTGGAGAGTACTGGGGTGGTAACAGATCGGGGGCTCAGTACGTGGGTGGGGTGCAACGAGTGTGGGGGAACTGAGGTAAGAGGAAAAAGATTAATTATAACAAAGAAAAAAATCAAAATCAACAAGCAACTATAATAATGTAAGAAATATATAAAATATTTTTTTTTAAAAAAAAGATACTGATAACCACCTGGAAACTCATCATTGGGAAGAGCAATATAAGGTTGCCTTGGACCTAGAAATTGAATTTAAGTAAGTCCCATTTCCTTTATTCACAAATAAATGTTGAATCAACATTTAAGGAAAAGCATCAGAGATATGCACTTGAAGAGTGTAACATCACACTGATCACAAAGAGACCCCACACACCTTAGCTAGCATAGGAGTTAGAAGGGATTGTCAGACTCAGAGAATTCCCCTGGGAGTTGGTCATGAGATAGTCTTCTGTCAGTGTGGGGCTGCGTTCACAGCCTGGGCTCTGTGTATGTCACCTGCTTGAGCACATGCCTTGAGGTTCTCCAGTGATGTCATTGCTTTCTTCCTAGTAGAGTCATCAGAGCAGTGTATTCTGGATCAGATGTTTATAAGCTGGTGAACAGGTAACAAGACTATTCACTTAATTAGGCACGTGGATCCCTGCCACATGCTTCTGATTCTGATACATCTCAAAAGACTGTATATTTGAACACTGTCTTTAATCACTTCCTACCGTTGAAATTCCTGATTGATGCTTCATTCTAAAAGTATTCTTGTTATTTTAAGATTGTGTGTCAGCAACCAGAACAACTTCTTGTTTGTTTGTTTGCAATGAAGTAAAAAGTCCTTTGAATTTCATCCCTACAAATTATTGTTGCTTATAGGAGCACTGTTCTAGGTGTTGGGGAAGAGGAGTGAGTAGAACAGACAACAGCTCTGCTCTCATGGAGTTCGCAGTCTAGTGGAACGGGACAAAAATATGTCAGGTAATTATAGGTGCTGGGTAGAAAAATAAAAGAGGGTTGGGGACTAGAGAGTGATGGTGGGATAGGATGCTAGTTAGATAAAGTGTTTGGTGTATTTCAGAAACAGCTCCAGTGGCTGGATCTGAATAAACAAGGAGGAATGTGTTAGGAGATGAGATCAAAATATCTAGAACAAAACTGTGTTGAGCTTTGAATTCCATGTGAATAACCTTGGATTTTATTTATAATAACTCACTGGGGGGTTTTAAGCACAGATGTGACATGATCTGGCTTTACTATTTAATGATTAGGTTAGTTTCTGTGTAGACAGAAGAGAGGATGGAAGCAATGGAAACACTTGTCATTATTGTCATAATCCACACGAAAGATCATTTTGGCTTAAACCAAGATGGTATCTATGGAGGTGGTAGGAAGCAGTTGTATTCTGGATAGGTTTTGAAGGTAGAGCCAACAAAATTTGCTGAGAGATTGGATACAAGGTATGAGGGACAAGTCATCTCTCACTCATATGGGAAGTAATGGAACTGTCATTTGCTAAATTAGGGTGGATCTAGCTTGGTGGGTGAGAATCAAGTGTTTGGTCTTGGATATATCAGGTATGAGATGCCCAGGAGACACATTCAAATGAAGATGTAGAATGGGTGAATGAATCCATGATTCTCAAATTCAGGAGAGAACTGTTTAAAGCTCTTGAGGCATATGAGATCAGGAGTATGAGTGGAAAAAAATGAAAATACCTCTTTTGCGAATAGAACTAAGCACTGAGGAATGAAGATGGTTGTTCACCATCTGATAGTTATTAAACAAATGAAAGGAGACTGAAGAAGACCCTTTACACAGTTGGTTGCTTGAGAGCATGGTTAGCTGAAGAGGTGAGTCAGGAGAAATAGGGTAATGAATATATGCAATCACACATTAACAGACCTATAAAATTTGCAGAATAAATTTCAAATGTTGGAGAGATATGTGAATATAGATACTCAGAAATAGCTAGGAGAGTGGGGGAATAAAGCCTAGTGTGGCTTATCAAGAGAGACCTCACAGAGAATATGAATCTTGTGTTTCAGATAGAAAGGTACATTTTCCAGTGGGTAAGTAACTTCCATTTCCAGTTAGAAACAAAGGCTGAAGTTGGAAAAAGGCACTGGGAAGTCAGAGGTTTGGCAATATAGAACAATGCCGAGTTGAAAGATCCATTGAAAGCCTTGAAGCAAACTATTCTAAACTCATCCAAGAGACCCTGAATGGGAGCTGCTAGAAAGGAATAGAATATGATCAAAATCAGTGGTTTTAAAAGAAAAATTCTCTTTGTCCTTGGAGATAAATTATACAAAACATGAAGTAGAAACTGAGAAGTCAATTCTCAGTCATGAATGTAAACGTTAGTATTCATAATTATTAAATACATTTGTAAAGCTCACTGCACCTCAGGGGAGGCTGAAGCACTTCATACCCCTAAATTCTTAGTAGTCCCTTCCCTCTGTTTCAGCGCTAACTAAACTGACACTAGCCTACTATGTTTTCCCTTCTCCTGAAATAAGGAGATTTGGAAGCAAACACCTTGGAGCAGAGCCATCCTCAGGAGGCAAAGCTAGAGCCATTTATTCTAGAAGATCCTTTGTTAAATGATTGTTTAAATAAATGAAAGTAATCCACTTGAGGTGTTGGTACAATATGTCAGAATCTTAACTCAGATTTAAGCCTAACAATTGCTATATTTAAGAGCTGTGGGCCACCTTCCTCACCCAAATTCCCCCAGCCCCTCCCCCCAAATAAAAGCTTTAAAACAAGAATGAGTGATATGGGACTGGATATGTGCAAAGCATATTATGACAGATGACACTGTCATCTTGGGCTGTGGTAATGACTCTGGGAGGATTTTCCCAAATAGGCAGGTCTCGATCTCTCGCTGCATGAATAGCATCTCAGCCGTTCTCTATCTGAAAGTCACTAAGAGTTTGTCAACTATGAACCAGAGACACTCTACGGGGGTTGGGGGGTGGGGAAAGGAGGGCTTGGGGTCAAAATAAGGGGGTTGTAATTGTATGGGGAATATAAAAAATAAAATTTAAATTAAAAAAATAAAAGTCACTGAGAGTTTGTCTTCCAAATAATGGCAAAAACTACTGAACTCCACTCAGCATGAACCTCACACCCTCTCTTGGCACTGCAATGAGATCCTTCCTTGAGTTCTGCTGAATAATTTGCCACCTGTGCTGGATAGATGGATCCTTTTGCCTATGTTCGAAATAGGGGTTTGGGGTCGGGAAGGGTTAACTTTCAACTAAGTGATAAGCCAATGTCTTCTTTCTTTGGAGGGTACCATGGCCTCTCCTAAAAGCCAAAGTAAAGCTTGTACTCAATAGGAGGTTGCAAAGTGCGGCAGAGAGGTTTTCTCCACCTGGTAAAGGACAGAATGATTTTTGTCCTGTTTCCATGCCTGTCCTGTTATAGAGTAATAGAAGCACCAGAAAGTTTGGAGACAAAACAGGGTTTGGTCTTGGTCCAGCACCGGGTCTGCAGCCACATTTATGACACACGTTTTCCTGCAGTGGAGGTGTGCTGTGACTGGACTGTAAACATGAACCCCATTGGGAAGTTAACCTATAACACACGGGAAGGTATATACTTTAAGAAGATTTTTGTGAGAATTTTATTTTATTTTAATTTTTTAAACAGATTTATTTTTGCATACAAGAGCTGGGGTACAGGCCAGAGATGCGGTGGGGCAGGGGTGAGAAGATTCACCAGAGACAGAGTGGGGAACAGAACAGGCAGAACGACTGAAACACACTGCTGAGGGGAGCAGCGGGTGAGACAGGAGAGGTCTGCCGCCCCATATGGGTAGCCCCCTGGCCGGGGCTCGAACTTGTGCTGCTGTAGCTGTTGATTGCTTCACAGTGCAGTGCTTCACCCCTTGCGCCACCAGGGAGGCCCGGAGAATTTCATTTTTACATAAATAGTCGGCAATAGCTACGCCTTCGGGGCAGGGAAGCACCCCAAACCCACCCAGACTTTGGGAAAAAAACGCGCGTAACGCGTAACGCGAGGCCCACAGCCCCCCAGCAGGCGCAGCCCCGCGCGCCCCGCCCCTACCGAAGTCCCGCATCCGGGTTATTGGTCCCCTTCCCGCGCCGTCGGTTGCCAGGGAGACCAAGGCTATGGCAACCAGAAGAAGCCAAACTTGGTCACCCGCCTCCAACCGCGGCGCGGCACCGGCCGCACGGCGGGCTCCGGGCGCGGCTCATGGCGCTCTACGAGCTCTACTCCCACCCGGCCGAGCGCGGCTACCGCGCGGGGCTCTGCTCCAAGGCCGCGCTGTTCCTGCTGCTGGCCGCCGCGCTCACCTACATCCCGCCGCTGCTCGTGGCCTTCCGGAGCCACGGTGAGCCCGCGCCCCGCCGGCCCGCGACGGCCCCCGCGGCCCGCGCCGCCCGCGCCCGCGCCCCTGACCTCCCCCTGCGCTCTTCACCCCAGGGTTCTGGCTGAAGCGGAGCAGCTACGAGGAGCAGCCGACCGTGCGCTTCCAGCACCAGGTGCTGCTGGTGGCCCTGCTGGCACCCGAGGACCGCGGCTACCTGGCCTGGAGCACGTTCCCCGCTTTCAACCGGCTGCAGGGGCGTCGCCTGCGCATCCCTCTCATTTCGGTGCGTGCTTCCCGCCGCGGCCAGGCAGGTGGGACGGGAGGGAGAGGCGAGCGGCCAGGCCCCGGGGAGCCCAGCTTGGGTCTGGAGGGGACGTGGAGTCCTTTACGCGGGCTGCTGGGCTAGGGCGCACGCTTCATTGACTGGGGAGTGAGTCGCTCGTGGCATTGGACTTCTCCAAGCTGCCCACAGCTCCAAGAAAGTCAGCCACTGGCAGCATAGGAACTCTGGAAGAGTCCAGAAGGATGGGGGCAGGCTGTCTCTGGGGCGGGTCATGGCAGCGGGCCTGGCTTGATGAAGGCCCAGTGTCGCTGCAGGAGTGCTTCGCAACGCCTTAGGGCAGGTATTTTTTACAGAGTTGATCTGCGAAAAGCATGGCGCTAATGGGTTAATCGCCCTCCAGAAAGTGCTGTTAGCCCAGGCCCGCCTCCTTGGACTAGCCTCAGCAGAGGATGCGCCATCCTGCTGCTGTCCAGGGTGCAAATGAAGCATTCTGCTGACTGTAATTGAATATTTATAGGTCTCGGATAAGGGAGTACTTCCTCTACAATCACCCCTGTTCACGCATTTTCTGAAAACTTTTCCCTTCAGAAGTGTGAACAATCTGCTTTTCCTTCTTTCAGAGTTGCATCTCAGGAGGTATCTCTGAGATGACTGGCCAACAAGACAAAGTTGTACGGCAGAAAAAAATTTCAGACTTTTCCCTAACAACTAAGTAAAATGAAAAAGTATTAATCTGATTGGTTGATGAATAACTTTAAACAAAATATAGTTCAGATTTATTTTCTCTGATTACTTAAAAATTGTAAATATATATTTTTTAATGATTTATTTATTTATACAAGCACTGGGGTACAGGCCAGTGGCATGGGAGGGTGAGAGAATTCACCAGAGACAGAGCAGGGAGAAGAACAGGCAGAAGGACCAAAATGCACTGCTGAGGGGAGCAGCTGGGGAGGCAGGAGAGGTCTGCTGGGCCATGTGGGAATCTCCCTGGCCGGCCAGGAATCGAACCAGCACTGCAGAGGCTGCGGACAGCTTCACAGCGCTGCACTCAACCTGCTGCACCACCAGGGAGGCCCAAATTTTAAATATTTTAAAAAATACTTATTTTGTAGGCGAACTGGTGTATAGGCCAACTGGGGTGAGAGGATTCACCAGAGACTGGGGAGAAGAACAGGCAGATCTACTGAAATACACTGCTGGAGGAACAGAGACTGGGGAGGTCTGCTGTGACATGTGGGTCAGCTCCCTGACAGGGGATCAGCTCCCTGGCAGGGGATCAGCTCCCTGGCAGGGGATCAGCTCCCTGGCAGGGGATCGAACTTATGCTGCAGTGATTGGTTAGCTAGAGAGCTAAATAGTGTTGTGTCTTTAATCCTTGTGCCACCAGGGGGCCCCCCAAAATGAGTCTTTCACTTTGTTGGAGGGATAGGGAGTGTGTAAGGGGTGGGGGATTTTTGGAAGGTGTTAGGGAGAAGAACCCTACATCTTTATCTTTCCTTATGGGAAGCCAGTTTGGGAGTGAGAATGCCTGAAACTAAGAAATTAAGAAGTGCCAATTCAGACATTTAGATACATGGAGATAACATTTTTATTTTTATTTTTTTTAAAGATTTATTTATTTATTTATACAAGAACCAGGGTATAGGCCAGATGTGCTGGAGGGTGAAAGGTTTCACCAGAGACAGAGCAGGGAACAGAACAGGCAGACTGGCGAAGTACACTGTTGAGGGGAATAGCAGGCGAGACAGGAAAGGTCTGCCACGCCATGTGGGACCCTCACTGGCTGGCAAGTATCGAACCGGTGCTGCAGAGGCTATGGACAGCTTCACCATGCAGCGTTCAGCCGCCTGCACCACCAGGGGAGGCCCAACATTTTTAAATAATCAGATGTGAGATGAAAATATTTGTACTGGGAATGGAAGTCTGTTTTTCTAATACTTTAATTGAACACTTTGCTCTTTAAATGCTCAGGCCTTTTGAATTGAATTTTAAAATAAAATTGGAGGAGAAAACTTTGTTTCTACACCTCCTCACTGATCCTGACATCTGCACGAGTTTATTCTTACTTGAGATTATAATGCCTGTGGGGAAGAGGGTGATTACATAAGAGGCGAGTGTCCAGGTTACCTGGTGCACTTGCTTTCCACTGTACTAAATTTCATTCTTTCGACTTTTCACTTGTTCATCTGCCAAGCTGGTTGACTCCCCAGTTAGCCTGCTCGTTAGTCTCTTATCTCTATAACCAGAAGCTCCTCCCTTGGGAGCCCTGCCTATCTTCTCCCTGCTTCTGGTATGTGTAGATTCCAATTGTGTGTTCATTCTGGGCCTGTGTGTATAATTTATAGCTTTGTCACCTACTGTCCTTCTCAGCAATTGATTTTCTTCTTGACTGATCTCTTGGTTTGGGCATGCTTTGAAATCATGAGATACAAAAAAATCAAAAATCAAAACTTCCAAAAGTGGAAGTTCAGAACTCAACAAGCCAAAAGGTAAACTGAAGTTAGGAATAAACTTAACAGGAAATAGGCAAAAACTATATGAATAAAGCTTTAAAAGAGATAAGAAAAAAATTATGTTATGTCATTTTCTTGGACAGGAAGGTTCACCATCATAAAGATGTGTTCTTCCTAAGTTAATTTGTAATCTACTCAACTGTTTATTTTAAAAGGGTGAATTTTGTGATATTTCTTAAAAAAGCGAGGTGGTGATACCCTGGTGATAGGTTTGTAAGCCGTATTAATTTATGATTTACTATGCCTCAGGCATATGCTAAGCATATTTATCATTAGATAATACATTTAAAATCCTGACATACCTACTTGGCCTGTAATAATCACTTAGTGTTAGGTATTCACTTTTTTTTTTTTTTTAAAGATTTATTTATTTATTTATACAAGCACTGGGTATAGTCAGAAGCACAGGAGGGTGAGAGAATTCACCAGAGCCAGAGCAGGGAACAGAACAGGCAGACTGACGAAATACACTGCTGAGGAGAGCAGTGGGCATGGCAGGAGAGGTCTGCACGCCATGTGGGACCCTCGCTGGGGGCCGGGGATCAAACCGACGCTTCAGAGGTTGCGGGCAGCTTTGCAGCCCAGCACTCAACCGCTGCGTCATCAGGAGAGGCCCAGGTATTCACTTTTTCACAGATCTCTCTCATCTTCACAGTGACCTTAGGAGGTAGGAATTAACAGATTTCTTCATTCCACAGAGGAAGAAACAGACTCAGAGAAGTGACTTCATTTGCTCTAGGTCACAAGTAAACAGTCAGGACTACAGCTCAAGGATTTCTAATTCCTCATAACCTTCATTGCAGCAAAATTTTTTCCAACTGTGTACATGAAGCTAGACCCATTACATCCTATCTGAGCAATTGCCCAGGAAATCAAGGAAGCAGCGGTTTTCGGACAAGATTTGAGCAACTGCTGGGAGGTGGTTTGTGGTTGCTAATTTGAGAAAATGTGCCAGAAGTCAGGTGTGGCCTTGCTTTTGCTTTGGTCGGCTCACCTTGGAAAACATCTTTAAAGTCCCTGTGTTTTTAATGCTTTAAAACTGGAGTTTCTTGTTTCCAATGAAGTAAAAAGCCAGTACAGATTGACCTTTACCTCCCAAGAGCCAGACTTGACTCTAAGGCATCTGTGAACCCAGAGAATGTGGAGGCTGAAGGCCAGAGGAGGACCCAGCAAGTGAAATGGAGAGCACCGTGTGTCTGAGACAATTGGGTTTTGTCACCTCTCTGAAATCAGAATGTGTCTTGGTGCCTGTGTTATCTTATACCCATTGACCAGGAGAAAGGCTTGACATAGTCCTCATTGCCTACCTGTACGCAAACATCACAAGTGCTAGCACCCAAACTTGCAGAAGGGAGAGCAGCTACTTGAAAGAAAACCCCAGAAACAGGAGGAAAAGATTCTTGTTCTTGTTGTTTTTTCAGCTTTATTGAAGAGTAATTGACAGGTAAAACAGGAAAGCGAGTAAAACATTGTAATGCCTCAGAACCAAATGAAGAACAGGTAAGGGATGGTTCAAGAAGCCTTTAAAAATAGGCTAGCTCTACATAATTTTAAGCCTGTTTAAGATCCCAAATCAGTGGATTTTCCTTTTATGAATTTATGTAATGCTTCACCGCCAAGTTACTTGATGGCACAAAGGACAGATATGCTTAGAAGAGTATAAGTATCATCGAGTTGAAAAGTGATTCAAAAAAATCATCATGTAAAGTTTTCAGATTCACTGGATCAGTTTGTTTTGCTTAATTCTGTGTGTGTGTGCAAAAATGTGCCTAAACCTAAAAGTTCTTACAGTTGAGTATAAAATACTCTAAGTGACTAGGATGTGTTGTATCATAATTTAACTGAAAGTAGTTTTCCTTTCTTTGTGGTATGTAAAATTATGGTACATTTTTTAAAATTACAATTTGATTAAAGTAACATTGGGGGGCCTCCCTGGTGGTGCAGAGGGTTAAGGCACAGCAGCTCTATGAGGCTGTCCATAGCCACTGCAGCACGAGTTCTATCCCCAGCCAGGCAGGTGACCCACATGGCGCCACACATCTCTCCTGACTCACCTGCTGCTCCCCTCAGCAGTGTATTTCAGTCAATCCACCTGTTTTGGTCTCCACTCTGTCTCTGGTGGATCCTCTCAACCCCCCACACCTCTGTCCTGTACCGTAGTTCTTGTATGCATAAATAAAATAAATCTTTAAAAAATTAAAGTAACATTGGTTTACAATATTATATAAGTTTCAGGTGTACAGCTTTGTAATTCAGTATCTTCATACACTACCTCATGATCACCACCAAGAGTCTAATTTCCATTCATCACTATACCATTGACCCTTACTTTACCCAACCCTCAGACCCCTTCCATCTGGTAGCTGCCAGTCTGTTTTCTGGGTCTAAGCATTTTATCTGTTTCTTTATAATGCACATATGAATGAAATCATGTGGTATTTGTTTTCTCACTCTAACTTCACTTAGCTTGATTTGAACTCAGTGGACGTAGATCATAGATTTCAGCAGTGGTCCAGCTGCTGAAGTGTGGCCACCTTGGAGCACAAAGGAGTGAAGTCACCTGGGGACAGGTCATCATTGGAGGGGCACCGTTTACCTGGGCACCGACCCTCTTGCCTCTTCCTTGGCCCTCTGTCTCCTGCCACCACTTCACCCACTGTGCTCAGCTGCCCTGGTCTCTCTCACTGTGTCAGCCACTTGCCCACTGCCTCAGAGCATGTCCTGACCACTCTTCCCAGGACATTAGCCTGCCTTATCAGTCACTTCCTTCAGCTCTCTGGCGATCAGGCCTTCCTGAAAATTCTCTGTAAGCATTTCTGTTAAATTCTGCCCTCATCATTCTCTAATTTTAGCCAGCTTCACTTTTCTTTGCGGCACTTACCACCCCTGGATATTGATACACATATATTTGTGTATGATTTACTTTCTGCCTCCTTGCTGGGAATGTAAGCTCCATTAGGGTGAGGACTTTGTTTTGTTTGCCTTTATATTCCCAATACTTCAAATAGTGCCTGGCACATAGAACCCTCAAATAACACTTGACAGATGCAGGAGAGTAAACATAATGATGGCACTCTGCCCTCTATGTCACCTCTGTGGTCTTGGAATTAAGGTATGCACACAAGCAGTCTACAAACTTTACACTCATGCCTTTGATGCTGACTTCTTGCAAAATGATTTGTCCTACCCAACGTCTTCTTAAGTTTTTTTTTTTTTTTTAGGTCTGGACATTTTAAAATACAATTTGGAAAAAGGATCAGATTTGAAGTCAAAGACATGGTTTTAAATCTTTTTTTTTTTTAAGATTTATTTATTTATGCATACAAGAGCTGGGGTACAGGCCAGAGATGCAGGGGGTGAGAGGATTCACCAGAGAGAGAGTGGGGAACAGAACAGGCAGACTGACTGAAATACACTGCTGAGGGGAGCAGGTGGTGAGACAGGAGAGGTCTGCGGTGCCATGTGGGTTTCTCTTTGGCCGGCCAGAGATCAAACTCCTGCTGCAGAAGCTGTGGATTGCTTCATAGTGCAGTGCTTATCCCCTTGTGCCACCAGGGAGGCCCCAAGGTGTTAAATCTTGTCTTTCCCATTACTAGTTGGATTCAGTTAATCCCTTACCCTCCCTGAGCCTCAATTTTCTTATCCATACAGTGGGGATGATGCTTGCTCTTCTAACCTTAGATATACTGTAAAGGTCAAATGAAATTTGGTCCCCTCCCTCCTGCACTATGATTGAGTCTGGATTCTTCTGGCATTTCCCTTCTGGCCACTGTCCTCTCTTGCAAGTTGAGATATTTGATCTTTGTCTTCCTGTCTAACCCTAAAGAAGGCATGAGAGTTAACCAACTTTGTCTTCCAAGTCTTCCCAGACACCAACTGAAGAAATTCCACAGCAAGACAAGGCAGCCTCTTTTTGCTCCTACTCCTAATAGCTAAGACACAATTGCCTTAGTAAGTTGATCGTCAGCACTGGTAACAGATACCCCTTTCTGTACCTGCAAAGCTGATGGGACAGGACAGAGAAAATAGTGTCCAGCAGAAGAGAGAGGGTAAGTTTCTCTACCACAAGGCCTAGGATAAGGACATTATTGTCTAGTAGGAAATAACTGATTGAAAGGTTCTGAAAACAGCTCTCCATCTCAGCCTTGTAACCCTGAGAAAGAACAAAGAATCTCTTCCTCCTACAACAACCTTGGTGGAAAACAAAATGAATCAGTAGATGGAGAATTCCCATGGCAATGTTGGGACACAAAATTAGAATCCTTCTGGGAATCTACAGTGGGAGAGGGTCCCTTGTCACAGCAAGATCCAGAATCCTGTCAAGGAATCACATCAGCAGTGATCACATCCCAGTGACTGTCCCTCCTGTTCATGCTACAGTCATCACAGGGCAAGATTATGGATGACAAGACTGGATGCTCGTGATTTTGTTTTTATAAAGATTTTAAAGTTTATGTATTTGGACTGTTAGAATGCCATTGTTTTTTAATGAGCTGTAATTTGTCTTTTTCCCACCTCAGAACTCTGTTTTTCCTACTTTAATGTCCATAATTTAGAAAGTTTCTGTGTCTTTTCAATGCTTTACCGATTTTACTTAGCTTCCATTTTCACTTTATTGATTGCTACTAAGAGATGCTGTGGGCTTTAAAGTCCTCACATTAATGCTGAGATGAGGTCCAATATCAAGAATCTGAAGCAATGATGTTTGTGGTGAAAGTAAAAATAGAACCTGGTGTTTTTCTGCTGAGTCTGTTTGGGGAATGCATGATTACTATTAGTTTCTTTTCTATTTAAAAGAATGAGCTTATGGATAAATAGAAGGTAATTTGGAAGTGCGTTATTTAAAATTTTCATGCAAACACAGGTATGTTCATTAAAAGGAAAAAAGAAAAAGGAAAGGTCAGGGACTAAACAAAGATCAAATAAGACAAATGAAAAAGAAAATGCCATCGGATGTTTATTATTGTTGCCACTTCTTCAAGTTCCCCGTTCAGTGGCCCTTGAATATTTGAGAAGCACAAGTATAAAGTTGGGGAGCCATACATATGGTTTCTCTCTCCCCACTATTTTTTTTAAGATTTATTTGTGCATCCAAGAACTGGGGTACAGGCCAGAGGTTGGGGCAGGGGGTGAGAGGATTCACCAGAAACAGTGGGGAGCAGAACAGGCAGATCGACTGAAATATACTGATGAGGGGAGCAGCGGGTGAGAGAAGAGAGGTCTGTTGTGCCATGTGGGTCACCTCCCTGGCTGGGGATCAGGGATTGGGGATCGAACGCTGCTGCGGTGGCTGTCAACAGCTTCATTGTGCTGAGACTTAACCCCTTGCGCCACCAGGGAGGCCTTCTCCCCACAATTGATACTTGTATATCTATTGCTTTTTCTTCTTTTTTTAAAGATTTACTTATTTATGCATATAAGAGCGGGGGTACAGGCCAGAGGTGTGTGTGTGGGTGGTGGGGAGAGGATTCACCAGAGACGGAGTGGGGAACAGAACAGGCAGATTGACTGAAATACACTGCTGAGGGGAGCAGTGAGCTAGTCAGGAGAGGTCCGCTGCACCATGTGGGTAGCTCCCTGGCTGGGGATCAAACTCTTGCTGCAGTGGCTGTGGACAGCTTCATAGGTTATGTCTTAACTCCTTGTGCCACCAGGGAGGCCCTTTTTCTTCTTTTTCTTTCCATGAGGGAGAGAACACTTGCGTGGTCATGGTGTGTGGGCAGCGGTGATAAGGACCCTTCAGAGCTTATTAAGCACCACGGTCCCTGGCCCTCTTTGGGTTTCCTAGACCAGAGAAGAAGACAAGAACCAGGATGGTAAAATGGACCTGTTACATTTTCACCTGGAGCTTCCCCTGCAGTCCAGAGAGCACGTGGTTGGTGTACAGCTCATCCTGACCTTCTCCTACCAGCTGCACGTGAGTTGCTTCCCCAGTGAAGCTTGGCTTCTCCTTCACCCTGATTTCTAGGAAGACATACACTTTGACAGCCTCTTTCCTGAGGTGCAGTTGGGGATGTCACTCGGGCAAAAGCAGTGTTCTTCTTCTGTGGGGTCCTGTTAAGTCAGCTGAGCTACTAATGGCTCAGCCTTCCGGGCAGAGTTCGCCCTGCATGACCGGATAGATCTGCAAAGGACCATTAGGCTTCGACCAGCTGAGGCTGAGAAGCCAGAACCCTTCAGATAGGAACAAAATCGGTCCCTCTAATGATTTCAGAGGATGTCGACGTTCGTGATGCAGACCATGGCGTTCCTGCAGTCTTCCTTTGCTGTCCCCGGCTCCCAGTTATATGTGAACGGAGACCTGCGGCTGCAGCAGAAGCAGCCCCTGAGCTACCGTGGCCTAGACGTCCGATACAACGTAAGGATGCTGCTTCTTGTCCCTCTGCTTTGTTTCTGTATGTTACTATTTATCGAGTTCTTTGAAGAGGGAGAAATGGAAAGTTGGAAATAGCATTTCTCTGTGGGTAGCCCAGAAGAGGAATTCTTACCATGAATTCTTTCAAAATATGGAGACTGATATAGCTGGAGTGACATCTAGCCTGGGGCAGGGGGGATCTTTATTTAAGAATCAAGTTGTTTGTTTTCAGATATGCACAAGGGTGTGCACACACACAATATGTGTGTGTGTGTGTGTGTGAATGTGTGTGAATATATATATATATATATATATATATTCCAAGTGATCTTTTTCAGTTCCTGTAAAATATTTCAGAATTAATACTAACCACTGATTACTGAGTGTAGGATATGTACAGCCCTGAATGGAGAGGTTGAGTATATCATCTTCAGTCATCTCTGCAACCTCAGGAGGTGCCTAGATTTGTCATTTCTCTACAGCTGTAGTCCTACTTCTTTTTTTTTTTTTTTGAATAAATGAACTGTATTTTATTTTTTTTTAAAGATTTATTTATTTATGCATACAAGAACTGGGGTACAAGCCAGAGGTGTGGGGGAGTGAGAGGATTCACCAGAGACAGAGTGGGGAACAGAACAGGCAGACTGACTGAAATACACTGCTGAGGGGAGCAGCAGGGGAGTCAGGAGAGGTCTGCTATGCCATGTGGGTTGCTCCCTGACCGGGGATTGAACTGTGTTGCAGTGGCTTCGGTTATCTTCATAGGTTTCGTCTTAACCCCTTGCACTGCCTGGGAGGCCCTACAGTCCTATTTCTGTCCCCTTGCTTCTTTCTGGATTTCCTGACTTTTGCTGTTCATACCCATGAGAAGACACTGCCTCAGGACCATTGCACCTGCCTTTCCCTCTGCCAAGTATCCCTGTACTTATTCGCTACTCCAGAGGGCCCCTGTTGAAACATCCCTGAGCACAGCCCCTCCTGACCCTCTTCTCTTAAATTCCCTTTTCTCTCCATCATCCCACGGACAAATTCACTTTTCTTACTTCCACCTGAAATATTAAAGGTATGATTTTGATTTATTTATTGACTGTCTGCCCCAGCAATAAAAGTGTTGGCATCTCTGCTCTGACCCCAGGGCCTAAAACAGTGCTCAGCACTTTGTAAGGACTCAGATGGATTTGATGAAAGAATAAACTCTTGTTTTACACATGAGGAAACTGGGGCTTACGGGGATTAATTTTCCCAAAGTCCCGCAGTTTGAAAGTAACAGGGCCACACATTGTCTGAGGCAAGAACTCAGATGTCTGATCACGACTACTAACCTTTCTTTTATTACAAGGGAGTCCATATGAACTGACCTGGGTTACTTATGAAAATGAACCAGGCATATTGTCAGTTCCTATAGGCTTAAGCAAGGACTGTTCCAGATACACTGGAATTATGGTCACCCTAGCTGTCAGCAACATAAATGAAAACAAGGAGATGGACCATAAGATATAAACTTAACATGACCCTTTTTCTTTGTGGATTTTTTTCTTTGTTTTTATTTTGGAGAGTCTTTGATGGGTTGGTTGGTTTTTTCAGTTTTATTGAGGTTTAATTGACAAAATTGTGAGCTACTCAAAGTGCACATTGTGATGATTTGTGTGTGGATTATGAAAGGTCCATCCCATCTAGTTGATTAACACCTCCATCACACCCATGTTCATCTTTTGTTCTGAGTGACTCCCAGCAGTTAAGGGATTGCCAAGACCCATTTTGATGTATTTTCTTATTTGCATGACTTACAGCAGTCACTCAGCTAGTTTACGGATTTTTTTTTTAAGATTTACTTTATTTATACAAGAGCTAGGGTACCGGCCAGAGGGGTGGGAGGGTGGGAGAATTCACCACAGACAGAATAGGGAGCAGAACAGGCAGAAGGACCGAAAACACTGCTGAGGGGAGCAGCCGGCGAGACAGGAGAGGTCTGTCATGTGGGAATCTCCCTGGCCAGCCGGGAATCGAACCCACACTGCAGAGGCTGTGGACAGCTTCACAGCGCTGTGCTCAACCCACTGCGTCACCTGGGAGGCCCTAGTTTGAGGATAACTTTCAGAGGGACTTGCTCCATGTGTAGATGTAGATTCACTGTGTTGGTGGGAGGAGGTGAGTTCAGGAGGCTCCTATGTCACCATCTTGGAATGGAACCTCTTTTTCTCCCAAATCCTCAACATTCTTCGTCAGTCTTCACCTGGAAACCCATAGCGCTTTTTATTTGAAGGTTTCCAACAATAGGAATATAATGTTAGAGGACAAAAAGTAATTTTCAATGGATTATATTTGTACTTCATCCTATTTCCATCCCTACACTTAAAAGAGAGAAATTAGTGATCGTCTAAAGAAGAACAAGAAAAAGACAAAGGAGTTGAAAATGTGGTCTATTAAGAGAAGCTGAGGGGGCCTCCCTGGTGGCACAAGGACTTAAGCACTGCAGTATGAAGCATTCCGCAGCCTCTGCAGCCCCCGGGGCCAGGGAGAATCCCACATGGCCTAGCAGACCTCTCCTGTCTCGCCCGCTGCTCCCCTCAGCAGTGTATTTCAGTCCGTCTGCCTGTTCTGCTCCCCACTCTATCTCTGGTGAATCCTCTCACCCCCACTGTATATCTGGCCTGTACCCCAGCTCTTGTATGCATAAATAAATTAATCTTAAATTAAAAAAAAAGAGCCTGAGGGAATGAGTTCTCCCATCAAATTAGAGAAGGGTGTTTTATAAATAACTTAAAAACTGTAAAAGGTAGAGATTCACCTTTTTATTTTTTTAATTTTTTAAAATATTTTACTTGTTTTTGTGTAGAAAAAGTGGGGTGCAGGCCTGAGGGGTGGGGGGCAGGGGCAAGCAGAATCACCAGAGACAGAGTAGGTAGCAGAATAGGCGGATCTACTGAAATAAACTGCTGAGGGGAGCAGTGGGCAAAACAGGTGGTTCAGCTCCCTGGCAGGGATCAAACTCAGGTCTTCAGGGTGGGCCTTTGTGGTGGTAGCATTGAGATTTAACCCCTAGGCCACCAGGGAGACCCTCACCTTGTTTCTATTACTGAGAGTAAATGACTTAAGAGTAAGTGAAAGTCCATTCATCCTTGAAGGAAATATATTGATACTAGCCTAGGCCACCAAGAACAGGAGGGTGATCTCAGGTAGGTGGGCAAGAGGGTGCAAAAAGAAGAAGCTGTGGGGGTGCTTACACCACATGCCCTGCTGTACCCCAGGTGTCTGTAATCAATGGAACCAGCCCCTTTGCCTCTGACTACGACCTCACCCGCATCGTGGCTGCCTACCAGGAAAGGAACGGTGAGTTGTGAGGATCTTCCAGGTTAGTGGGGGCATAGAGAGTGTAGTGGAAGGCACAGCACGGGTTCTCTATGGATCTGGGCAGACAGGTAAAGGAGAGTTCTGGAGCCCTCAGTGGCTTTGTCAGGCTTTTAATGATCTTTCTACACCATTCACAGTGAGGCAACCAGGTGCAGGGTTGGCACCTGGGGGCCTGGGGGGCCGGGAGGCTGGCAGGCCTCCTAGCCCCTGGTGAATCTTCACACTCTCTGGGCTCGCTCTTACGTTCTCTGGTGGCCTCTTCTTCTCCAAGCAGTTCTCTGCCACACCGTCCTCTGCTGTCCCCTTGTATGCTCAGTCTCTCGGCTCAGGTGTGCCCACCTACGCGTGCCCACACCATACTCCAGGTATCCACAATCAGGCATGCGTACCCCAAGCCCATGCCTCCAAGCGCCTCCTGCACTCAAGGCCACAGGTGACAGCCACAGAGGCCTATGGTGCCAAAGCCTGAGCAATTTTCTTCAGAGAGAAACAGAATTGGGGACATTATTATGATGACAGTGCCAAAACCAGGGATTGCTCAGTGCTGGACGGTGAACAGACTTCATCAGGATTACTCCTTTTTTTTTTTTTTTTAAAGATTTATTATTTATTTATTTGTTTGTTTGTTTATACATGCAAGCACTGGGTACAGTCAGAAGTGCGGGAAGGTGAGAGAATTCAACAGAGCGGGGAGCAGAGCAGGCAGAAGGACCGAAGCACACTGCTGAGGGGAGCAGTGGGCGGCAGGAGAGGTCTGCGTGCCATGTGGGACCCTCCTTTGGTGGCCGGGGAGCAGCCGGGGATTGAACTGGTGCTGCAGGGGCTGCGGGCAGCTTCGCAACCCAGCGCTCAACCGCTTCGCCACCGGGGAGGCCCAGGATTACTCCTTTTTCTTCTGATCTAAACACCCATGTCCGCTCCCTAGGAACCACCAACAGGCCAGTAGGTTAGGGCCAATTCATTGCCTTATTTATTCCACCACTGGCTTAAGGCATCCATTTCATTTCATTTCATTATTTATTTATTTATTTATTTATTTATTTATTTATTTTAAAGATTTATTTATTTATTTATTTATTTATACAAGCATTGGGCACAGCCAGAAGCGTGGGATCGTGAGAGAATTCACCAGAACCAGAGCAGGGAACAGAACAGGCAGTTGGACCGAAATACACTGCTGAGGGGAGCAGCGGGGGAGACAGGAGAGGTCTGCACGCCATGTAGGACTCCCGCCTGGCGGCCAGGGATGGAACTGGCGCTGCAGAGGTTGCGGGCAGCTTCACAACCCAGCGTTCAACTGCTGCACCACCGGGGAGGCCCTCATTTCATTTTTTAAAGCCTAGTTGAGTTGCACCTTTTACCACCTCATGAAAGAAATCGAAACCAAATTACTACCCATAGTTGGTAGATGGGAGTCAGGAATGTGAGTGACTCGCTCCATGTTAGCAATCAGAGTGGGAAAATAGACGTACCCAGGGTTGTGGCTGGAAGGCAAGTGTGTCCATCCCTTACAAAGGCGAGGCTCTTCCGTCACCCCATGAGCTGGACTAAGCATCTTTGCTGCTGGTGGTCTGAGGTTTCTCTAAAGGCATCTGAAGTTCTACTTGGCAACCACATACCACACATAGACATTTAACAAGTGCAGAGTCTGCAATTCCAGTGTGTCTTCCTGATTTTATGTAATATACTGGCAGCGTTAGTCCAGAAATAAAAGAATTTTAAAACTAAACTGTAAAATCAACTGTATTTTTTTTCCTTTACCTGTTCTTTATTCCTTTCAGTCTTTGTGCAAATACACTTTATATCACAGTTAAGAGACACTTTAGGATCCAATTTATTTTTATTTGCTCTGTGATGTAAATATTTCCCCACTCTGCTACAAAGTTTTAATTGGTATTATTTTTAGTGGTAGCTTAATTGACCTTTGCTTAGCCATGCAGCACTTACAAAAGAGTACATAGACTATTTCCATATTTTAAACACAAGTATTTTAACAAATAATGTATGAGAAACTTTGTGATTCAATTTCTTTTTCCTTTTGAATTGTTTCTGTGGAATGAGTTCAAAGTTCAGAGTTAACCTGAGGGGCCAGTGAGTATTTTCATAGCTCTCAATATTTTATTGCCAAAAAGTATTCATGATTTAACTTCTTACTGTGTTGCAGTGACCACCATTCTGACTGACCCCAACCCCATCTGGCTGGTTGGAAGGGCAGCCGAAGCTCCATTTGTGATTAATGCTGTTATTCGATACCCTGTGGAAGTCATTTCATATCCTTTCTGTTAAAGAGCCAACAGCAGCTCAGCTTTGAAAAAGAAAAAAAGGACTCCTCAGTTGTCCCAAGAAGACATAGATGTGGAAAGCCTTAGATTGGAAATTGCAGGAAAAAGATACTCATTTCCTCTTCTTGGTTCTCTCTAAGCAATTCTTCTAGATCAGAATCATCCATATTTATGTCTCAATGATCTCTTATTATCCCTTTTTTCTTAAGGGTATTTGAAACATTTTGGCCATTTCCTGTCTAAACTTTGGTTCAACTTTTTCTTAGAAGATGTCTTCTGTAATTCCTTAACCAAGTGTACTTATCGACCAGGGTTCTGGGAAATGATAAAGTTTGCCTGGATCCAGTACATCAGTATCCTGCTTATCTTCCTCTGGCTGTTTGAAAGAATCAAAAGATTTGTGTTTCAAAATCAGGTGGTGACCACAATCCCTGTACCAGCAGCGCCCCGTGGACAACTGTATAAGGAGCACTATTCATGAAAAAGCCATTTCTGAAAGGCTTCAGCTGGACCTGGACCCTGGCTACCTCATTGCTGTCTTCTGAGAACTGCCATCTTAGGACATTTTGGAAAAGAGCCCACAGACATGTGGGTGGCTGTGCTTTTCCTATGAGAGACAAAGAACAAGTTTTTCTAATTTTTTCTCTACACAAATTCTGTATCTTCTAAGCATGTACCAAATCATCAGGGACCGGTTGGTGGAAAGGTCTGCGGGTTCCTGAAGGCTATAATTTGCTTTTTTTTCTTTTGCCTTAGACTTGAATTTCTGGAGAAAACTACAGCAGTCAGTTCCGACATCTTGGATAAGGTTCCTTTCTCTGGTCAAGCAAAGTCCTTTCCTCTCTTGAATTAAGAAGCATGCTTTATATTTCTTCCACCTAATGTGAAACCCTTTTGCGCTTTTCAGCGCTCTGTAGGATAGATAAACAGCTAGCACTTTCCACCCCTGGGCATTTAACTTTTCTAAACAGAACTTTGATTTCCAGAACGGAGAGGCCTTTGCCTGAAGAACTGGAGAGAGAGTGTGCTCACGAGCACATGCTTGTTTCGCTAGTGTAGTGGTTATCACGTTCGCCTCACAAGAGCGCGTGCACGCAGTACGTGAGGCTGGGCAACCTGAGGACACCAGGACCATCCACCTGCCCTCAGTCTAACAGACAGTCATCTGTCACCCGCTCCGCTGAACAGCCCTTTATCCCTGCCCGGCTGTGGCTGGCTCCTTGCCCTGCCTTTTGCCCTCTGTCTGTGCCCCTGGAATCGCGGGCTGAAGTCAGAGTGCTGTTTCATTCACAGTCCCCTCCGCAACAGTGGGGGGAGTGAGGCTTACAACAACAGGTTCTTTCTCTCTGGCCCTTGCCCAACAGCCTGGACACTTGCCACTCCTCCTCCTTGACAGCCCTTCCCCTTCCTGGAAAGGATGTGGGTGACAGAGGAGCTGTTGTTGGTATTGGCACCCATAGCCCGACAACCACAGGGTTGATCAGGAGTGCTCGCAGGAAGCCCAGCTACTGTATGTCCCCTGACTGAGGACAGGGCACCTATCAGCGGGCAGCTTTGGGGGGGACACAAAGGGAGCAGGGAAGAGGACACCACTCCGACCTGCCCACTCCAAGCTGGCCATTAGCAGAATGACCAGAATTCCACCAGATTACCCTTGAGGCTAGTATGTATCTGCAGGAGAAGAGACTTCTGGAAACAGGTCTATTGCATGAGGAAGACAGACCCTCCCTTCTTATCCTGAGCACATACCTTGGATTCGCTCTGTGATCTTAAGATGTCATTGAAACTGGAAGGACATGTCTGCTGTGATCCGTGCTTCGTGCCCACCCACAAACACATTCCTCAGCGTGCACCTCAGTTTACCTTGGACAATCAGTTCTTATTTCCAACTTTTTCTGGTTGAACAAAAGAGTTTTGGAATCCAAGCTATTTTGAAATATTTCGGCACAAACATTCCCCAACACTGGCCTATCGGCCTTTTCTTTTAACATTTAGAGCTGCTTATATGCCTAATCTTTTTTCCTGCGATTTAAATGAAAAACGGTTTCTGGTTTTAGTTACAAAAAAGTATGATGTATATAGACATCACATTTTGTTACATTATCTCCATGCAGAATTTGTGTAAAGAACCATGGTGTTTTGTAACTTTCTAATTAAAATGTTCAAAATGGAAGGTTCCATAAGGTTTTCTAGAGGGAAAGGGTTTAGCACCAGGAAGAATGGCAATGGCAGGGGTTGTATTCCGACTTACTCACCAGCAGGCTTGCTTTGCCAGGCTCTACCCGGAGACCGTGGAGCTTTTGTTAGCTCCTTGGCCAAAGTCCCTGGTCTAACCCCAAGTAAATGTGAGTTTGCAGTGGAATCCACATGGCATGTGGAAATCACAGGCTGGAAAATTACAACTGCGTCTGGTAAATATCAAATTATTTGCAGGTCAGATGTTGGTAACTGCTGAATCTGAACCTCACCGTATAGTTGCAGGAGAATAAAAAGGTAAGCTCTGTGTAAGAGTTGGTCAACAGAGCTGTAAACTATAGCTAAGGCAGGGTTTAAGACAAATACTCTTATTTGTCTTTGATATTTTGGCTGGGGTGGGGAGAATCCCTCATTTTGCTAGTTGATTATCCAGTCCTATTTGGGTCAGGTGAGACTGCTAAACCTGTACTTATCTTTCTCTTTTGTTTTTTTTTTTTTAAAGATTTATTTATTTATACAAGCACTGGGTACAGTCAGAAGGGCAGGAGGGTGAGAGAATTCACCGGAGCCAGAGTGGGGAACAGAACAGGTAGAAGGACCAAAGTACAGTGCTGAGGGGAGCAGCGGACACAGCAGGAGAGGCCTGCGTGCCATGTGGGACCCTTGCCAGAGGCCGGGGATCGAACCGGTGCTGCAGAGGCTGTGGACAGCTTCGGAGTAACCCAGCGCTCAACCACTGCGCCACCGGGGAGGCCCTTATCTTTCTCTTTACAAAGATGCCTCTTTGACTAGATGAATTCGAAATGCCTATTGGGGAGGTGTAAGTACAGAAGCTTAAAGAAAATCAGTTGTCTGTAAATCCACTACCCAAAAGTTCTCGTTGGCATTTTGGTACATATCTTTCTCATATCTTACTAATCTTTTTGTTGCTTTTTTTTTTCTATTGTAAACAACAGTTATATGAACCGTGTGCATAAATCTTTGTTGCTGGTTTATATCATTAAGAGAGGTCCTAGAAAGGAATTACTAATTTTAAAAAAGCCTATTTTTTAAAAAAGATTTATTTATTTATATAAGAACTGGGGTACAGGCCAGAGGCGTGGGAGGGTGAGAGGATTCACCAGAGACAGAGTGGGGAACAGAACAGGCAGAAGGACCGAAGTACACTGCTGAGGGGAGCAGCAGGTGAGACAGGAGAGGTCTGCCATGCCATGTGGGACTCTCCCTGGCCGTCCGGGAATCGAACCCACACTGAAGAGGCTGCAGACAGCTTCATGGCGCAGTGCTCAACCCTCCGCACCACCGGGGAGGCCCCTAACTATTCTCAAGGGTTTGTATTCATCCTGCCAAACCGCATTCTGTAAGAATGCACTAATTTATACTCCAGGCTGCAGGCCCTTCCTTCAGGTCCCACGACGGATTACAAAGATCAGAATTCTCTGTCTCTTTCCAGTGCCTGGACTCTGTTCTGGTTTTTTTGTAGGAGGAAAAATCTGCTCCATTTCTTGACACGTCGCACTCTGCATTTATCCCGACTGCCATCAAGCCTGCATCTCCGGAGGGGGCAGCCCGCTGCGGGCCATACCTGCGTCCAGGCGGCTCCTAGCTCGGTTTCCGCGCGGGATGCAGCGCGGTCGCTCGCATTAAGGTGGTTCGGGTCTACCCGGGGGCTTGAGAAGAGGTCTGGATTCCCTGTCAGTCGGCTGCCAGGATGCCACCGAAAGCGAGACGGGGCAAGATTAAGATTCGATTTCTTTCACAAGGGCCTTTTGTGCGCCCAGGAGCCTCCCCTCCGGGGATTGGAGAGAGCGACCTCTTTTTTGGTTACTCTGCGAGCGCCCTGTGACCCCCTCGGGCCAAGAGCGCGCCGCCCGCAGCCCTCTGGACCACCTGCGCCCCCCCAACCCGGGGCCCTCCGGGGCCCGCCCAGGGGCATCTGTCCCTCCCCCGAGGCGTGGCCCCTGGGCGCGGGGTGGGAGGTAGCTGGAGCCGGGGGCCAACCGGCTCCTTCCTTCGCTCACCCCCGCCCCGGCGCCCGCCCGCCGGCCCCCATCGCAGGCACGTCTGAAAGCGCCTCATTGTGCGCGCTGCGCTCTGGGCCCGCGGCGTGGAGCTGCGCGCAGGGAGCTCCCGGCTTCCCGGCTCTGGGGCGCAGGGCACGAGTTGTTCCTGTAGCCTCGAGACTATCCCCACTGCACCCTCCCCCCCCCAACATCTGATTCTTACCACCCCCTTTCTTTTCTCCCCGGGAATCCCAATCCTGTTTCCAGATTCCCTCTGCTGGGGCCCCAGGTGCCGCCAATACTTGGCTACCCCGTGACCCTCGTCCATTCCTTTTAAAGCCCCCTCCGGAGTGTGACTGATGCCTCCCCGATAGCCTGGAAACCCTGAGGAACAAATCATCCCCATGCGGACTCTCTCAGTGAAGAGGCAGCCAGCTGTGAAGGGGGGCTTGGAGGAGACCTCATCCAGGAGCCTGTTGAGCCTCAGGAGAGGCGCCTGCTTCCCGCTGCGCCAGGTAGGGCAGGGACGCCAGACTTTGGGGTAGGTTAGTACGTCCTCTCGCCAAGCGAGCTGCCCCTTCCCTGGACGGGCTGGGCAAAGTTGGGGTGGGGGCATTGATTTCGGGGTGGGGGGTTCTGAAGGTGGCGGTTCTGTGGGCATCGCTGCCTCAGGCGATGCTTTGAGTGTCTTCCTGTCGCTCCAGCTGGACAGGAGATCCCTGTTAGGAGATCCTTAGTTCCTGAAAGCTGAGTTTCAAAGGGTTATGGCTTCGGTCTAGAAGGTTCTCCAGGTGTGGTTTCCACTGAACTGTTGAGGAAAAGCAACTTGAGGAATAAATCTAGAACCAGATGCTGCTGAATTAGAATCTGGCTACCCCTCTTCTTGCTGCTGCATCTTGGGTAAGGAAAGAGACCTCTCCTGGCCTCAGCAAGGTGCCTGGCCAATGCCAACTGTCTTTTATCTTTCCCATAATGTCAGAGGCACGAGGATGGGAAAAAAGAGAGCTGAGAGCATCAGGGACTTGGCTGAATTGAAGCCAGTGTGAGTGAGCCAAGTGCGGGAGCTAATAGGAATAGCAGGCTCCTTGTTGGCTATGCTAAGGGTTCCATGGCCCCACTGACTTCTCTCCCACAGGTGTGGTAGGTATGTTAGACCCTCCTTTACAGAGCAGTCAACTGAAGCACAGAGAGGTTAGGCATGAACTACTCAAAGCACACACCTCTGGTTGTAGAGGCAGGATTTGAAATCAGTTTCGCTTCTCTGCCTTTAGTCACCATTTTGTTTTGTACACATGTTCTGCCCTGCCTGGGCTGACCATGTTTTGTTGCTAGACTGTTAGGGTCACCTGAACCTGGCCTATTGTTTTGTTGTTGTTTGTTTTGCTTTGTTTTGTTTTTTAAAGGAAGATAATTTTTTAAAGGCTTATTTATTTATACATGCAAGAACTGGGGTACAGGCCAGAGGTGTGACGGGTGAGAGGATTCACCAAGACAGAGTGGGGAACAGAACAGGCAGACTGGCAAAGTACACTGCTGAGGGGAGCAGTGGGCGAGTCAGGAGAGGTCTGCGCCATGTGGGTTGTAGCGCCATGTGGGTAGCTCCCTGGCCAGGGATCGAACTCGTGCTGCGGTGACTGCAGATCGCTTCGTAGGTTGCGTCTCAACCCCTTGAGCCACCAGGGAGGCCTTGAACCTGGCCTATTGAACTTGAGTTTTCCTAATGAAAGTTTTCCCTAGAATTCATAGAATATAGTTGTGACTCAGGATTTGGAAGATTCCTGAGCAGATGTTTATAGATGTACCATGTGTCAGACATTGTTCTAAGTTCTTTATAAATATTAACTCATTTAAGCTAAAAGTCCACAACTTAGGTTATATTATTTCCTCCACTGCATTGATTAAAACAAACAAAAGACTCCGACACAGAGAGATTAAGTAACTTGTCCAAGATCACACAGTGATGATCAAATGGCATCGATGCTTTAGGCACCGCGCTATTCCTCCCTCTGAAACAGCACGTCCTATTTCTAGTCTAGTAAAGGGAGATAGAAATACACAGACAAGAGTATTTGGGGCAGTAATAAGAGGACTAGCCATGGCTTCTCAATGTCACCTACATCTCTATCCATATTAAAATGTACCTGATCACCTCAAAGGTACCTTCCTACAGTTTGTTTGAATCAGAGCCACATGTTACATATCACTGTTAAATGCTTTGAGTGGTTTTCTTCTTAAATGGTCCCTTCATTTTTCTTTTTTTGTCCTCCTATTTTCACTTGTGTGAATTTTTTTTCAAAGATTTATTTTTATTTATTTATACATACAAGAACTGGGTTGTAGGCCAGAGGTATGGGGGTGGGAGGGTTCACCAGAGACAGAATGGGGAGCAGAACATGAGGATCTACTGAAATACACTGCTGAGGAGAGCAGCAGGCGAGGCAGGAGAGGTCTGCTGAGCCTTGTGGGTTAGTTCTCTGGCCAGGGATCGAACTCATGCCACAGTGGCTGGTGATAGCTTGATAGCACTGAGACTTTAACCCCTGGGCCACCAGGGAGGCCCTGTGAATTTTTTTTTTTTTTAACATTTCCTTTATTTATTTATTTTTTAACTGTGGTAATGTTGGTTTACATTGCTGTTTGTCTTTTGGAAGTACCTCTTCAGATTCTGTTACCATAGATTCTGTTACCCACCACCAAAGCACCCATAGTCTACCCTGGGGTCCATTCTGCTCTCCTTCCTTTCCTCTCTCTGAATGCCTCAGTTCTAAAGTCTGCTTTCAAGGACTAGTTTTTGAATTTGACTTTATCTCACCCTTTGTCTGGTTTTTCTATATTCCACATAGAAGTGACACCATCTGGTATGTGTCTTTCTCCTTCTAACTTATTTCCCTTAGCATAATCCCTTCCAGCTCCATCCATGGTGCTTCAAATAGCATGAATTTATCTTTTTTGATAGCTGAGTAGTATTCTATTGCATATATATATATACCCTACAACTTTTCAATCCACTCATCTGCTTGGGAGCACCTAGGTTGTTTCCATAGTTTAGTTATAGTAAATAGTGCTGTAATGAACAAGGGAATGCAGTGTTCCCTTCAAATAAGTGTATTTGTGTTCTTCAGGTAGATATCTAGGAGTGGAATTGCTGGGTCATATGGTAGATCCATTTTTTAAAAAAAAAATTATGTATGCATACAACAGCTGGGGTACAGGCCAGAGGTGCGGGGGGTGAGAGGATTCACCAGAGACAGAGTGGGGAACAGAACAGGCAGATTGATTAAAATACTCTGCTGAGAGGAGCAGTGGGCAAGTCAGGAGAGGTTTTCTGCACTATGTGGGTAGCTCCCTGGCCAGAGATTGAACTCGTGCTGTGGTGGCTGCAGATAGCTTCATAGGTTGCGCCACCAGGGAGGCCGGGTAGATCCATTTTTAGTCTTACTTCCTTCCATGCTGCTTTCCAATGGGGCTGGACCAGTCTGCAT